GGCGTGGTGGAAAAGCTGGATGCCCGAGTCGCTAATTGTGTTTGAGGCTTCGCTAAACCCTTCATGTACAGTGCAGAGCGGCATCTTAGAACCTAAGGCAAGGGGCAGTGCGACGTTGCTGTCGACCTGTACACGTGCTGCGACCAACTCTGCAGCGACTTCAGCTGCCGGGGTGCGTCTGAGCTCAAGGCAAATTCTTCGGAGATCGCAGCTTGGCGGAAAAACGAGCATGTGAAATCTCGGGGACAGGCTCGCTGACTTGGATCCTTGCTGCTACGGTACAAGTTGAACGTAGGGGAATGCTACATTTCTTTTGCTGAAGGTCTGCCGTGGACAGTGCGACAAGTTGAGGGATAGGTCGCGGTGTTGCGACATACTCCCAGTCCAAGATGAGCGTGCGCCGCCTTCAGTGCTTCCGGAGCATGGCATGGCTCATCACGGCTCCCCCCCATGCGCCAGGCCTGCAGCTTCTCCGAGCTTCGGTGGCCGGCAAGGCGCGAGCGCGCCAGCAGAAGCAGAGGGGCCCTCCATAAGGAGTATATATAGGTCCTACGTAGGTGAGAAGGTGTAAACTTGTGTAAAGGTCTTCGTTCCTCACTCCAGGCAAGCCAAGTGGATCGCCTGGTGTCCATGTCAGTCGACACGCATCTGACCCTTCCTGGCGGTGCAGGGGCGCCAGCCTTGGGCCTGGGTTACTGGGTCTGATCAGTGTGTGTCTTGCCCATTTGCTTTGTGCAGGGGTTGCATTTTGCTGCACTTCACGGACACACTCAAAACATGAGGCCTCAGAGCTTCTGCAAGTCTTCTTGTTTAGTCGTTTTGGTCTGGGCAGGCGATTGATTGATGGCCGAGCCGACGTCAATGCGGTGGACGCACTCGGCTGGGCTCCACTGCACCTGGCTGCTGGTGCAGGCCAGGCACCCGGCCCCGTCATGTGGCTCCGCTATGCTCCGCTCTGTCGGCAGGTCGGATCGGTGCCATGAACTTGCTCATCGACTCTCGGGCCTCACTGGCCCGTCAGCTTTGCCGCTCCGATACGGCGATACGGTGTGTCATCTTGCAAAGTTGCAACACTTGCCTGGCCAGGCCATTCCGGACATACGTTCCGGAGACGGCTGCCCTCCAGCAATAGGGAGTAACACGTGATCTTAGCGGGTGTGCATCACGATCGAGACATCAAAACTGAAACAAGTAGAGGTTGCTCGATGATTGCCGAGGTTTGGAACCTTTGGATGTTGCCCGCCAAGCTGCGCAGCGATTCTCTTAGCTTTCCCGGTGCTTCCCATGCCACATCGGGCCATCCACAGACCCTGAGTTGCATGAAGCCGTTAAAGCATGACCCTGCAAAGGTCGCCGCGGGTTGGCCAGGGCCAGAAGGATCTCGCTGTCCTGTTGGCCCGTCGCGTTCGAGTCGGGATCTTGATGTATTTCAGAGATCATGTCGACACTGCTGTACCACTTGATGCTATCGGTGCAAGAGAATCTCACACACGACTGCAACAACATGCAACACCTCTCACTTGACGTGCGAGAGCAGCCAGCACAGTTGTCTGTTCTGAGGCATGGAGAGACGAGTTGAACCTCACTCAAAGTTCGTGAGACATAGTCAGTAGCTAGGATTATGCGCCGTGTCGTGGCCGAAGCGGTCGCGTGACTGGCTCAGCATCTCGGGATTTGTCTGGATACACTGGAGCGACCCACCTTTGGTTTGTGAGGGTAGATGCAAGCTTCTTTGCGATGAATTTGTGGTTTGCACGCCCAGTGCACTTCCTGCAAAGGGGGAGTAGGGGAAGTTCAATCTTTTTCAGAAGTTGAGAGGCTCATGCACACCTTTGTGCGAAGCACACGGAGTGGGGTGAGCACCTGATTTCGCGCCGTATTTCGCCAAAGGGTGATAAAGGATAACATCCGGATCAGGAAGTTCTTTTGCAAATTGTGTGGAATGCCTTTCGAATGCTCGAATCGTGGACTCCAGGCACTGGGAAGGACACGATGCTCGTGCCTTGATGTTGACTCACTTTGTTAAGTCTCCTCAATGTGTGGCTGTTGAAGCTTGCGGTTGTCCTGAGGATCTCGTTTTTCCTGAGCAGTGTCGACGCAGGAATGCTTTCTGTCCTCAATGCCAATCTGTATCCTGTCGCCTGCAAGCGAAGCCGCCATCTGTGACGCTTTTTGGGGAAGCCGTGTTCAGCAGGAAGGCTGCCTAGCCCCCGTAGCATCCCACTACAATGGCAGGTCCGATGTTAGTACCATCCGCAAACGTGAAGCTAGAGGCCTGCCTTTTTTCGTAGCCGGCCCCCACAGTCTGATGGGTGCAGAGAAAGTCTTGAGACTTTACGAGCATGCCCTCGGCCGAGCGCCTACTGCCATCACCGGAGTGGTTGCTGGATCGTGCGGGCCTCTGAGTGCAACAATTAAGTGGTCGACATCTCATTCTCGCAGATAGAGATGCGACATGTTCCTGACATCGATGGGACACTGAGCCCTAAATTTTGCCTGTCGACTTGGACATTGTTGGAGCCGCTGTTGAGAATCTACTTCTGGCGTCATGTCTTGTTGAGACATCCATGCGCGAGTTCTGTGGACAGCTTCCACCGACGAATCTGCAGTACGTATTCATATCCGATATATCAGCGAGGTCACCCAATGCACTTCACATGATCGACTGCAGAATTGTTTGCAAAGCCTGCTGCATCGCCTTTGCAGCCTTGGCTTGTCCTTGTTCTATGACCAAATGTTTGGTCCGGCCTCGTACTGGTGATTTTTGCAGCGGATGCGTTTCCCGCCAAGCCCTGGTCTCTTGGTCCCCCTGCTGGATCCTGCTGGTGACGTCATGTCAAAGACTCAAATCCATTCGCAGGCTCGGCTTTGTGGGGGATGCCGTTGCCAGGGCCTTGGGTGTGTTTGCAGAGAGACTTCACTCGCACAGCTATGACAGCTATGAGCGCAGCCAGAGGCGCAAGAAGTTGAGCATCGCCGTGCCGGGTGTTCGGCCTTCGATGCGCAGAGAAGTTGCCTGGATGAAGAGTTGACTCCGTGTGATGCACGGCCGATGAGCCGAAGTCCACTTGACATGTCTTGACCCCACACCTTCTGCGAGATCTCTGATGTCTGCTGAAGCCAAGCTTCCCAGGTTTGAGTCTGCACTCACATCCAATGTCGATCTCCGAGCCCCAAGTCCAAGCCTCCAGCGTCAAGGCGTCATGTGTCTGGCGTTGGCATTTCGCCCAAACAGGCTTCGCATTCACGCTCTATGCCATCGGCTGGGGAGCCTTCGGCTTGCGGCCCTGGCTGAACTTCCTGAACAGGCTTTGGAAGCATTCCCCTTCCCCGTCTATTCCTCCTCCTTGTCATTCCCATTCCTGTCGGACAGGTGCTTTCCAGGGAGTGCTCCGAGCCTTGGCTCAGTATGTGTGGATGCAAGTAGGGAAGGCAAAGTTCCTGTGCGGTCAGGTCGGAGATCTGCAAAAAAGTTGCAGCCCAGCAGTTTGTGTGGCATCTTACCTGCAATTGGATGGCATGCTTCAAAAAATGCATCTGCAGATAGCAGCCGCACTCACAACATGCAGCTACGAAACTCCAGTGCACTTGGAGACTTGTGTAAGTCGCAAACTTGTGCCATCTTGTTCCATATCAGTACTTTGATTTGTCTTAAGACCCTGTGCAGGAATCCGACAGTTTACCTTCCCAGCTTCTATGCGTTCAATGGCCTGCTTCGTCAGGAACTCAATTCTCTGAGTCGTAATTGCGGCAACGTCGGAATGTGATCTTGCTAGAGGTGGCCAAGATGTGGACTCGCTTATCGTGAAAATTCGCATCTGGCTCGCATATTCTGCGATGTGCATCGTGTTTCCTGCGAATGTTCTTAATCCTTTGCCCAACTGAGGCCAAGAGTATGTCACTTGCCTCGTGTACATCTGGAAGGCATCCTTGCAATGGTCTTGCCCGATATCGAGCATGTGCTGAGATAGCCTGCATGATTGAAAGTTGATGGTCCATACAGTTACATCTGTGCTGCTAGCAAGGTGTGGATTCCATTGTCCTTCAGCATCTTTGCCTTTGTCCCGGTGCGACACCAGGCCAGACACCACATGTTGATGCAGGGAAACTGACTAAGCAGGAGCCTAGCGCCAGGGCAATGACACTGACAAGAAACGCTTAAGGAGTCGGCGGAAAGACGTGTGTCCTTTGTGCAGTATCAAACTGAGTTCGGGCTCAGGTGGCGGCCAACTTCCTTGCGAACTTGCTGTGGTCGCTTGTATAGAAAAGGCTCATCACTTGCATGTTGTGCTTTTCTGGACTTGTTCTGCAGGAATACTTTGCTGTCACTCTTCTACAACAGCACGGACTCGGTGAGCGAATGATTGCTTGCAAAGCCCTGGCATGAGCTTGCGACGGGGATGTGCAAGCATGTTCAAGAGCCAAAGGAGAAGCAAGTAGAGTCCTCTTGAGCTGACCGAGTGGCTCTTGCGCCGGCGGATTGTGAGCCAAAGGGGCGACCTCAAGCTGCGAGCTGCTCTTGTCCCCGGGGCCCCGGCCCGCCATCGACTTCGTGGCGCTGTCGCTCGGGGGCACGCTGCCCTGAGCTGACCAGTTCAAACTGCATCACTGTGGCTGGTCGGTAGCGTGTGGTTTGGGCCGTCTTTGCAGATGTGTGCGGCATTGTGCGGCTTTGCAAAGCCTTCTGAGTGCCGACTGAGAGATTAAGACTTTCGGCCAAAACGGCATGTCCTGCATTGTCGGCATTATCTGTGCTGGAAAACGATCACCGATCACCGTGGAGTGTTCTTCTGGCCAGCTTGGTTCTGGATTATGTCTTGTGCATTAGAGTCTTAGAAACTGACAGAGAAATTGTCAAAGATCTGCAGAGTCAGCGTGGCATTCAGAACGCCTGTAGGTTCTGAGCCTGCTGTCAGAATGCAGGATTTCAAGAACACGCATGTGTTGCAGTCTTGGTTGTTAGTTAGCCTTCTGCTCGAATCGAAACTGTGCACTTCTCCATGTGTGTTGCCCTTCGGTCTTGGAGCATGAGCCCGGTCTTGCTGCTCGCCGTGGTCGCGGCTGTCCGCGCGCACGCGCAGCAATCGGAATGCGACGGCAGTGATGTGAGTGATTTGATGCAGCATTCGGCGTTGGCCAAGGAGAAGGAGGTCTCGTGGAGCGAATTCATGCACTCTGCGAAGCATAGCGACCGTGAAGGTTCCATGCCAATATTCATGGCCAAAATGGGCTTGGATGCAGCGTTGACAATGCTGATGCGCCAGGTGCATACGGTAGACAAAGCAGCCGTCATGACGCATGGCCGGCTAAATGGCTTGGTGGCGCATTCCTCGCACACAGGGGCAGATGCCGTGTTGCACCAGGCAGTGACTCCCCTGAATAACCTGTTTCGTGAGATTTCGAAACAGTTGGAGGAGGGAGGTGTGCAGACCAAGATGGCGCTGGGAATGGTAGGCCTCCGGGATGCTAGCAAGGCCTACGACACGGCCGTGGCTAAAGCGAAGGATGTCCTGGGGTCCTTGAGCCACTCTTGCACGGCATTGTCGTCGCAGCCAAGCTTGGCCCGCTGCTCCAAGGAAAGTGTCGCATTCCAGCATGCGTACCCAAAGATCATGCAGACTTTCTTGAATTCTCTTGGTGACAACCTTCTACAGAGCGTTGAAGACAAGCACGAGTTGGAGGGATACATTCACGTAAAAGTACCTCGTGTGATGAAGATCGTCGAGGCCATGTGCACCAAGGCAGAGAGTGCGAACACATGGCACACCTGCATGATGTGATGCGTCCTTGTTTGACCCTGCTAGGTCCAGACAGTGCTGGCTGGATCGATGAAGGATCTGTCCAAGTTAAAGCAGAGCTGAGCCCTAAAGGATGCCAATTGCGAGTTCCCAACCGGGGAAGCGGCCGCGACAGGGACGGCTTTTCAACAGCAGTGACCAGTCCCCTGCTGTAGTTTTCTGCCGTACTTGTCGCAACCGTCCGGTTGCAGTTTTAACAACGTTTTAACACATCTGAACGCTTCAGCCCTAATGGGGCTCATGGCGATAACCACTCGTGGAAACAATTTCTCGGACGATGCGTGTCCTGCTCTGCTTGCGCTGAAGGCCGGAAGGCAGCACGAAGCACTTACTGTGTTTGGCTCAGGGGCGATGTTGAGGTGGCAGTTTACCACAGCATCCGCATTCCAGAGACTGCCAGCGATCGCATTCGTGATTTGACCTGTAACCCATGTGTGTGTACATATGCTCAGGATCAGCATGTTCTTTGTATCCACTCCATAGATTCACCTTGACAGTTTTCTGGGCCTCTTCTGCTCATTCCAGCCATGGCCAAACGGGAGGCAGACTAAAACAACTCAGCTTGCAGTGCTTTGTTTGCATTTTCTTGTCAGCATTCCGAATCAAGGCATGCGATTAATGCTATGCTCGCTAGACAGGATAAAGACTCTGCTTGGGCACACAGAGAAAGGTGCTCAATCAGTAATCCAACAGATACTGGTAACATAGAGTTGAGAAGGTGATGGTCAAGAGTGGCAACAGTGCCTCTATGATGCTGTTTGTTGCTTGATCCAGAAAAAACGCTCAAAGCATGGGGCAGTGTGCAGCGAGACCTTTGGACGATGGTGAGATCAGCCAGGAAACAAATCCATCTGCATGGATTTGGTCCGGCTAAACGTCACTAAATGCATTCTCTGAATTTCGTCCGTGCTATCGGTTCTGGGTGTTGAAACAGCACAGCGAGGATGCACATGTAAATACACAGAGACATCCGCCTTCTTTGTTCAGGCCGGCTTGAATGTCGCCGATTTTCGCCGCAGGCACTTGGGGACAGTGCTTGGAATGCAGGATGCCAAGTCAAACCCTTATATGTTTGACCCGACATGCTGATCATGTCCGAGCAGTCCCATGTTGATTTGCTCGGAGTCTGATCGGTGTGAGGTTTGCAGCGTGCGGTAGCATTGCGCCAGGCAGCGGCCCTTGCTGGCCTTGATTGTCGGTTCTGCAGCAGCTGCCGCCGCCCTGGGCCGAAGGGGGCACTTTTGGGAGGCGGTCCAGTCGCAGCTCCGAGGTGTTGGCACCTGCTTGGGTTGCTCCGAGCTTGCGCAGCCTAGGAGTTTCTCAAGGCCATAAAGCTGGGCCCGAAGTCGAGGGCTGTGCATTCAAGCCGGCAGGTCCAGAGCACCATTTGGCTGCGGCTCCAAAAGAAGTCCAGGATGGAAGGCCGCCATCACTGGCGTCACGCCGGTCCTGGGGCCTTCTGGTTTTCGGGGCCGCGTGGGGTGCAGGCCGGGGCCCAAGGTCGTTTGAGGCCTTCCTTCAACTTTCCTTCGTCAGGTTTGGCTTCAGCTCAAGCCCTTGTGAAGGGGAGCACTCCTCCAAAAGGCTATGGTCTGGGCAAGGGCATCAAGGAGGCCATTGCGAGTGGGCCCTGTTGCTGCAGAAGCTGAGTTTGACGATTTGTCCAGGCCGCCGACTGCAAGTCCTTGGCGGAATGCGAGGAGCTGGGCGCGAAGCGCGAAGAGGTCTCATTGCCTTGACATCTGTAGGCTCCCACTGACTCGCAGAACTAAGTTGAAGTCATTTGCTCGAGACAGCTTGAGATTATCTTGAGCCTGAGATGCTGTCAACCAGCTAAGTAGCTGAAGCCATTCCCGCTAAACTCAATGGTGCCTGCCAGGAGAAGTTCGGAACGAAGATGGTCAGCTGCTCATGTTCCAAGAGCTGTGCTCATGTAATTGTGCTCGAGCAGGAGAAGACTTTCAAAGTCACAGCCAGTGGAGCCCGATACAAGGACCGCTTGCGCTCGTGTCTTACCCGTCTCCGCATTTCGAGCTGCCCGCCGAAGGCGTAGCTCGCGACAGGACATGAAGGTGGGCAACGAAGCCGACGGTGTGGCGAAGGTCGGCGATGACCTGAAGCTGAGGCATGCAGAACCGCTGTGTAGCCAGTGGTTGTGCCAAGCACAACTGCTACGGCGGGCGAGGGGGCCTAATTCCACGCATTTAAACATGTCACCGTCTGGCAAGGTATCGGGTTATGCGTGCTGGCAAGCGTTCCTACGACGGCGTGTCTGGTGAGGCCCCGCCATCAGAATGAAGGCAATGCAAGCTGTCGCACTCACTTGGTCGAGGCCACGACACTGTTTTCTCTGGGTTATGGAGAAAGTGATGACGAAAAGAAGGCTCACATTGACAGAGGGTCCTCTGAGTCTGTGGCTGTTTTACTCTTGGCAATGTACTCTGTGGGCCGTTGGCAGTTGTGCTGACTGCGGCCCAGATCTAGCTGATAGTGAAGCAGTCTTCTGGCAAGGACGCGACTCTGAAAGCACCGCTGGGAACGGGCAGGTTCGTTAAGGCCGGCTCAGCATGCTTAAGCAGAAAAAGTCCCGCATAAAACTGAGCATCTTCGCACAGAGGCCATTGATGAAGGCTTGGTTGGCATGTCTGTGGGCGGCATTCGACGAGTCCAGGCGCACCCGAGTGCAGATATGTTCGGAAGATTACCGTTATCACAGCCCCGGGCCCCATCTCACCCTTCGGTTCCTGCCGGCTTCCACTTTCCAATAGTCTCGTGAATTTGTGCATGTGACATGCTCTATCCCAATGCCGCAGAAGTCGATTTATTGCAGGTCCGGCCTGACTATGGACTCGGCTGGAAGAAGCCTGGGAAGTGTGCCGAAGCAATTGGAGCAGGCCTGTTGAAGTGCCAAGTTCCGGATCTTCAAAGCTTTCTGGCACGACGGAGGTTTCAAGAACATCTAGCTTAAGTACTCGTATCATTGTTTCTTGGCAGCCACGTGCGGTAGTGCCGATTTCTTTGAGCCGATGAAGGTTTGTCGACCGGAGGATTTCAATCCACAAGAAATGCCACTCCCATGCCGAATTCTTCAGAGTCCCTATCATGGGCCTTGAGATGTGATGATTGGGGCCCCAAGCCCACCCTTCTCGTCAGTTGGTGCCATCGCCGGCCTGCCCGCGGCTGGAGCGGAGAAGGAGTCTGCATGTGTGGAGCCCAGAGCTTTTATTCGACTTTTGCGGGCCTTAGAGCCGAGAGCAGCAGCCCGAGGCCTGGACACGTCGCTTCTGCCCCAGCCCGAGGACCTGGGGACCCGCCCGTAGCCGCGTAGCCGCTGTCTCTGGTGGGGGAGGACTGGAATGCCAAGCGTCGCTTTGAGCGACGTTTCGACGAGTCCCTGATCGTGGAGATGGAGCCCGGGCGCCCGGAAGATCTCTGTTCTGGTTTTGGTTTCGCAGGATATGTCTTACTTTGACGAGGCTCGTTGGACTCGGCAAGTGAGGTGCGCTCGCAAAGAAGAAAAAAGACCCGGGCGCGGTCCGATAGTAGCAGGCTCTCATTGATACTTTTTGACGAGGTTTGTTTTTGTTTGCCCATGTTTATTACACGAAGGCTTGCGACCTTGTCACTCGGCCTGCTTCCTGCGGCATGAGGCTTTCGATGACCATAAGTATTGGTCAGATATCAATCATCGCTGCCTCGGCGGTGGACTTCACGTCCATGCCCGATGTACTGCTGCCGCCATTGCCCGCAACACTGGAATCACTGGAACGCAGCATGATGCAGTTGTTTTGCCCATCCTGCGCTCGCCCAGCCGACTGGCAAGTCCATCTGCTCATTGGTTGCAGAAAACTCAAAAAGCAGCGCGTATGTTCCGGCTGCTCACCGCCGCCGTCTCCCTAGACCATGCCACATTTTTCTGTCCCCGCCGCGCCGTTTTACGCCAGCAGACAAAGGTCCGGTGCACGAAGAAGTACGGAAAGCCGGCGCGAAACCCACGGAGGTCTCAGCGAGGCCCTTGCATGTCAGTTAGGGCACAGGGAGCTGCGAGAAACCGTCGGCGAAAACCTCGTGAAGCTGAACCTCGTGCAGCTCCGGCTCATCCCCCAGCGACATTGCACTCGTCGCAGGCGAGAGCTCCAGCAAGGAGGCGGCGAATGCACTCTGCACCGCAACCGCGAGCAAGCTGGACATCGGCAGCACGGTGCCTTGCAGGCACTCGGAGCCAATTTGCAGCCTCAACGAGAACCAAGCGGCAGCGGCGGGCGGCGCTCAAGCTCAGGGTACGTTCGGCGGCGTTTGCGTCGGGCAGCGCCATTTCGCGCCAACTTTCAGTTCCAATGAAACGAGCAAAACGAAGTCCACCAAAACTGCTTGTCGCGGCAGATGCATTTCTTCACCCGGAAGGCATGTGCAGCCGCATAGAAATGAAATTCAACATCCGCGGTTTGGCCACCACAAACGGACAACTGAGAATTCAACCCTCCGTCGGGCTGAAGCTGGAGGGCGGGCAGTGCCCGCTGCGCTCGTACTTTCAACGGGTCACCTACATCCCCCTACCCGGCTTCGGCTCTGGGCGAATGAGCCGCCCATTACGTCATATAAAACCACCCACATGTCCTCACCGGACCGTCGCCGGTGTGTCTCACCATGATCCGAACGGACAAAAGCGAAAGCAACACGCCCTCTCAATTTAGGCGATGCTCACATCGTACGCCCATCAGCACGGCAGCCTGCGCCACGCCTGCACCTGATTTTGTGGGGTCGTCAGCGGCACGAAGCCTTCGTCGCACCGAAGCTTCGTCGCAGAGGTGAGGCCCGCAAGTTGTTCCACCCCCCTGCCGCCCTCCCACGACACTGGCAAGATCCTGCTCGTTGCACGGCTGCTGTTCCACTCCTGTGCCCTGAGGCAAGCCATGACAAAAACAACACAGTACAGGGCATTGCGGCACTTCGACGGTCACCGCATGTCGATGAAACCACGGTCGGCCGCGTCGTCCGTGACATCGCAGTGACGACACCGAACACCCCAGCATCGCACATGGTGCTCTGATTCCAACGTCATGCAAAAATGACGAAACCCGCCGTCACAGTCACCGAAGTAACTTTGCAATTGGGACAAGCGTGCTGCTGCACCAACGAGTGCACCGCCGGCACCAGCAGATCGCCTTGTTCACCGCCTTCACCGCTCGTGGGGATGACCCTCCTCGTCTGGCCGCGTGTACGTAAGTGCTTGTTGGAATGCAGGCGTGCCAAAATAGCAACAAGCTGGAACGCTCTTGCCAACGACTCACCCTACCGGAAATGGCTGGAGAGTCAGCTTCCATGACACTGCGGTTGGGCGGGAAGCAACATGATGCAGGAGGCTGGAATGCACGCTTCCGCTCGATCTCGCGGCCGAGGCAGCACCACAGATCGACATCTGGGGGCTGGCAGGGTGTCATACATAGAAACGCACTAAGCTACATGCCATTGCATGCCCGTCTGCCAAAGTTTCGTGCTTGCAATCGCCGGAATGCGAGTGATGATTTTGGGGTCTTCCGCTTCCCTCCCCCGCGTTTCTAGCTGCTTCTCTGCGTCCCTTCCCCTGTATTTCTGCCCCATCCTTGTTTAATCTGGGGGGACCCCGCGCGCTGGCGGTACACTTATCTACTGTATCGCCCCATACCCAGGAAACCGTGTGTTGCCCAGCAACATCGCCTGCGCTGACATCCAGCAACGTTTGTGGCCAGTGTTTGTCACGTTGAGGTGCGATACCGCAAATGCCCCATATTTTCAGGATCGCTGTCGTCGTGCGTGGTTCAAGTTTGCTATGCTGGCAGACAAGGCGGCCTCAGCAGTCGGTTTGGGGCGTGCTGTTCCCTTGAGCAACCACAGCGAAGGCATGTGAGGCATTGCCGTTGGTGGTTTTGTCCAGAGGTTGGTCACGCGCACCCTGGCAGAGCAGGCTGCCCCCATGTCTGAGGGTGCCACACACCCCACCATCACGCCTTGTCCATGCAGGCCTTCCAAACGCTTTTGGATGTTGAATGGAAAGCTCAGGAAAGATGCCGCCAAACGGCGCAACGGCTTTTGAGACTCTTATAAGGGATCCTGGCGTATGGATTCTGTAGTAGACAACCAGAAGAACGGACGAGCAAGGCAGACCATCGGGAGGTGAAGGCTGCGATGGTTGCAGGTCGCAACGGGCGAGGGATGGCACGGGCCCGCAGCGAGCGAGGAGCCGGACAAACTGAGCATCGTCGGAGCTCAAGCGGCATCCGACCTCCAAGCCGGCACCATTGCGAGCGCAGCAGCTCGGGGGAAAGGTGCCTTCCGTGGTCCTGCAGGCAACGCGCAGGGCGGCGCCACGGTACTGTCGTTGGTGCCGGCGCGCAGCCCCACTGGCATGGGCAGGGGCACTAGGGTGGTGTCGACAGCGAGCTGTGCTCCGCCCCAAGGCGAGGGTCCATTTGCGATGACTGCGGTGTGGCGGTCATCGACGAGGACATTGCAAACAACGGTAGTCCCGGCTTCGCGGCAAACACGGGCAGCAGCTCGCTCAAGGGGGTCAACGGGATAACGGCAGCGACAGGCTGCAGCGTCGAGCGGCAAAGGCGAGCGGAGCCGGCGGAGCAAAGCATGGAAAACAGGCGAGTCCAAAGTGAGCGCGTGGCTGGAAGGCAGAGCAGTGAGGACCCTCGTAGCAAAAGGCTCAGACTGAGACTCCGGAAATTGCGAAAGAAACCTTGTTCCCTGGAGCTGTAGGAGATTTTTTTTTGCATCGCGCTTTCTGACGCCAGCAGACAAAGGTCCGGTGCACGGAAAAGTACGGAGAGCCGACGCGAGGCCCACGGAAAACTCAACAGACACATAAGCTGTGAGCGCATATCCGCGAGATTCTTGTGCCGCTCCGGTTCATCCCCAGCGACATGGCACTCGCCTGCGAGCCGGAGCTCCAGCAGGCTGCAGGGGACGTAAGCAGCACGGTGCTTTGCGAGGAGTCGGCACCAGTTTGCAGCTTCAGCGCCAAAGCGGCCGCCGACTTCAACGCCTACAAATGTTCCGGTCTCCGATGACCGCTCGAATTCCCGCCTGCTGCCAAGCTCAGCGAGGGTACCGAGCCCGACCTGCATGAGCACCCCGGTTGTCACCTGACAGAATGACGCACCCGTCGCAGCAATCTGAGTGCATGCACCAATGGCGTGAGCATGTTCGTGATGCTGCATCTGTGCATTCTGATGCTTTTGATGTTCGGCATTTTCGTCGTGTCAACAGGCGGATCGATCGTGTTCGTGCAACACGGCATCCACAACACCCTCTCGACCCCTCCGTTGGTGACAGTAGCTCTGTCCCGTTCACTTTGGCTGAACTCAGGTCTGCATTGCAACACTGCACGTTGGACAAAGCCCTGGGCTGCGATAAGATCCCATACAGAGCACTATGTGTCGACATTTCGTGGTAGCAGCATGCCGTTTGAGCTATGCAGGTAGTATGGTTGCATTTGGAAGCATGGGGTGGTAGTCCCAATGGCCAACAACGTTAGTGCCACTGAGCGTAATGATTATCGGCCCATAACTTTGACGTCATGCTTTGTAAAAACGTTGGAAAGGATGGTTTTAGATTGCATTGGACCGGCAGTAGACGTGCAGCTCGAGCCCTCCCAAGCAGGATTTCGCTGGGGATCTGATGTCCAATTCTACACGTTGTGGGAAGCGCTTCGATTGCGCAAAAACTCCCGAACTTTCTACGCCTTATCTGCTTTCGATGTAGCTTGGCGCGATGGTGCACTTCTAGAATTGTAAAGGGCGGGCATCCCCATTCACTTGTGGCATTTGGTGGATGATTTGGTGAGTGACCGAACCGTTGCAGTACGTATCGGATCATGTGCTTCGGACTCGTGGGATGTGGAAGGTGGGGTAGGGCAAGGTGCTGTTTTAAGTGGTTTCCTCTTCAATTTTACTCATCAACGGGCTTGCCGCCGCCATTAAGCGTGCTTGTGGGGGTGTGTCATGCGGCCCTGACCGCCGGGCACCGCGCAATTCCGATGACATCGTCATTTTAAGTGATAGGCCCGCTGACCTGCAACGGGGACTTGATGCAGCTCGGGATGGGGCCAATGCCCGGAGGTTCCACTTCAGCATTGGTCATTGGTCCTAACAAATCCGCCTTCGTCGTGTTTGGGCGACGCCGTGCTCGACACAGCACGTCCGCTTCCATGTTGGTGAGCATGTCCTCTTACGTGTCAGTACGTACACTTACTTAGGGATCACTCTCCATGAATGCTTGGGGTGGACGCAACACATCGATGAACCTTTATGCCGGGGTGAGCGTAAACTTGCTGCCTGTGTTTCATGGACACAGTCAGCCACTTTGCCTTTTTTCTTCGTGGAGCGCATTTTCCATTCCTAGGGGCGACCGTTTGCTTGCTTCGGGTTGGAGTTTGTACCGCAATGTGCTCAAATTCGCCGGTTTCAAGCTCGCTTAATAAAATGGGGTCGACGGTTGGTTCTTTGGCCGCATGGCAGCCCTCGTGTTGCTGTCCGGGGCCAACTTGGTTGGCATGATGCCGACACCTTGCGCCTCTCTCAAGCAGCAGGCCTTTGCGCACGTTTACTTTGCCTTCCTCCTCATTGTTTTGCTGCGCAGCTCGCACAATTTGCATTGAACCAGCTTCTATCGTGGGTCCGTGAAGTATTGGGCGAGCTCTCCTTGCTCGGAGTCCCGCCTCCGCATGCTTACGGTATCCACTTTGGCAGCCCTGCACCTTCGATTAAGGCCTGGCTTCGCACCGTGAAAACGTTGTTAACGCGGCACGCGCAGGGCAGTCAAACAAAGCATGCGCCAAGGAGTCAACGCTGCGGGCACAGAAACGGCAAGGGCAATTGATCAAGGAAGCACTAAGTGCCCGATGTCTGGCCGCACGGCCATCCACAATGTTTTGCGACAAAGGTGGGCCAGCCGGTCTCGACATGCATTATCTTTGCACGTCTTATTCTCCACAGATGGAGATGTCAACACATTCCGTGACATCAAGAACAACATTGATTTCGTTGCGGATGTATGCATAGCCGCCGAAGCATGTGAGATGTGACAGCATATTTCTGAGCGCGAATTTTTGAATCCGGTTTGTACATACCGGTTCCGTTGATATGATGTGCAACATGCTTGGTTCCGAACTCAGTGATTTGGTGTTAATGTGTCGTTCATAGCATGCTTGGTTCCAGACTTTGTTTTGGGTGTTGGTTTGTTTGTTTGGATATTCTTGGCTTGTTCGTGGTGGTTGACGAACCAGCATGCTTGTCGTAGTTGCTCTCTGACCGTGACCCAAGGTCGTTTCCGGACACGCCTCTCTCAGGAGTGTGGCCCGAGTGAGCACGTGATGACGTTCTTGTAGCGCGTGTGACTTGCCATCGAGTGCGCATTGTGACCGCAAAAAACTGCTTCGGATATCAGGAAGGCTTAAGCTTTCACTTGTGTTCACCCGTACGACAAGGAAGTCGTCACGTGCTCCGTGGGGCTGCAACTGGTGTGCGACGCTTGCCAAGTTGGTGCAGGACACGCTCACGCTTCACCAGTTGGTTTTGTGGGAGAGTTGGCTGGTCTTGACCTCGCAGCTTGGGCAGGGCGAGTGGGAAAAAAACAACAGGTTCGGGGAGCATCTTGAACCGATATAGATGCGATGTACTTTGCCTGAAGAAATACATTTTTTTGAGTCGCATTTCGGATAGGGCGACTGGCTTCACGGCTGGCCGTCCCCACGTTTCGCGTACCCGCTCACTCTACTTTCGCGATCGAGTGCTACTGCCCACCTTGGAGCTGGGCACTGTTGCTGTCCCAATCGAGCCCACAAGCCGCCGCGTGGCTTGCGGCCATAATTACTCACGGACAGGTCCACCTCGCTGCCGCCAGAGGTCGTGCAAATCGCTCTTTCTGTTTGCCTCTGCCTCTGGGCCCCGGCAGCTGCGGCCAACATGGGCATCGATGCCGAGAACGGCGAAACCCTTGGGGCGACGAAGCCCTCGCATGCACACGCAAGCGGCCTGTTGGCACGCCGAGCGAAAAGCTGGTCGAGCAAGCCTGGCTCGCAGTATGCCGCGAAGCGGTGGGAGCGGAGGGACACGTTGTCTCCCAACAGAGGCTGTCGCACACGTCCGCGCCAGGAGGTCAACAGCGCCTCGCCGCAGGGCCTCGCCCTCTGTTGCGATGCCACGCTGGTCAGCCCCATCACCGGAGCACCCTTCACCTGAGCGGACCACACTCAAAAAAAAAAAAACCATACTCCTGGCGTCGCCTTGCGAGTGGCCACCGGACGCAAGCGCGCAAAACATCCGGAGGTGCACGCGGCGGCCAACGCCTCTTTGTCGTTGCGGTGGAGGTCGGGGGCGCTTGAACGCCGACTCACAGGCGCTTGTCCGACAGCTCTGCCGCCTCCATTGCCTGGACGCGCAGGTGGTGGAGCTTGCTGTGCACGGCCCTGGGAACACCGTGGCTGGTCTCTGGAGCTGCCGCAAGGTGCGAGCCTGCCTTGGACCACGTGTTGGCGTCGCTGAGCCGGTTGGCCCGAGCCGCCTCGCGCGGCGCTGAGCGCAGGACATGCCCATCATTATGGGCCGGACGACCCTGTCACACGCCTCCGAAAAGCTGAATGCTTTCCCGGAGAGAAAATAGAGACGCGCCTTCCGATATGCAATGACGAGCCCTTGCGAAAAGCTTAGACGTCGTGGTAGTCGAAAGTTGAGCCAATCTGGCCAGCGTATGGTCGAGCTAAAAATATTAGTCTTTTGTTTTTGTGGTTTCATGTTTTCTGTGTAGAATTGCGGTGGCACAGCCACCTCGGCTGGGTTACCTGTCAAGCTACTTTTTCTCAGCAGTTCAGTAAAGGAGACATGACTGTGGTTAAGTTGAGCAACCCGTGCAAGCCGTGAGTCCACCGCTGGAGTGGCATGCTGTCTGTTGCTGCCCAGCGAGCTTTCGCTTCCCTCTTTGCGCTTTCGTTGCACCCAGGGCGAACCCTTGTTACGGTACTCTTGCGGGGGTTCGGCTGTCTGCAGAGGCCCGCCGAGACATTGGGAGGGGTTCGACTCCCGTGAGTTCATTTTCTTGGTTGTGTGACTGTGACACAAGGTAATGTACGAAATGGGGGGGTGCAGGCTCGGGCAGGGCTCAAAAAATCTACCCTGAAGGGTCTTCGCCCTCCAGCACCTACACCCCCTAACCTTGCATGCTCCTCGCCGACGCACGCTGGCTGCAGGCGCCCGCCAAAAGCCACTTGCGGGCGCCTGCGCACGTGTTATGTGAGTTAGGTGGGGCTTCCCTTTTCGCCGCGAGGTCTTGAGAAGCCAGTTCAGTTTGTGTTACACCGACAGGGGTCTAATTGCACGAATTTTTGGTTATGCCTGCGAGGCTGCACGCTCCACCGTTCCAATGCCCTACCCCTTTCGGCTCTGCACGGAACCCTTCGCAACAAAGCGTGCCTCCATAACGACGTTGGGATTTCCTTCCGCACTGTCACGAAACGAGTTGGGTTGGACATGATTGGGCATTAGATTGAGAGACAGATCGCATGGGTTTCATGCATTTGCAGATTACCGTTGCTTGCGTCGAGCTTCAAAATCTGAAGGCCTCCAAAATCAAACGCAAAACTTGCCGAAGCCAGCCCTCCTTCAGTAGAATGCTGCAGCTTCGGTTTTTATGTTGAACCTTCGCAATGTGAAACTCACCGATGTCGGGCCATGGCTGCCAAAACCGAAGAAACGAAACTAGTTCGCCTTGGATCAGCGGAGACTTGCCTGCAAGCTTGGGGAAGCTCGTTACCTTGTAATGGTATATACATATATACATATCTGAATGTATGGATTTTGCATTCTTGGCCTTCCCGCTGCAAGGAATTCTTGGTAGATGGTTTTCTCTTCCAGCGTCGGGTGCCCAGATTCGGAAAAGTTCAGTGCCTGCGTCTTTCCGGCGGCTGGTGTGGAGTCAGGAAAAGATGTTTCACATTATGTGCTGACCCATTTCCACAGTGATCACACTGTGGGGTTGACGCGAAACTTCGATTGTGGAACTATCTATTGCACGGAGTCTTGGTGGCACGGTGAGTGGTACTGAAAGGAGATAGATGTCCGGGCACCCACACCCATCTCTTGTGAGTCGATCTCTAGTCTGCTGCACCTCGTGAGGGGGCGGCTGCGGATTAGCCGAGAACAGCATGCTGCATGTTTTTTTGGGTTATTGTTGTTCCATCGATAGACATGTGCCACTGGATGTGCGCTGTGGGTGTGCAGAGGATGTGACGGCAGCCTTGATCACTGAAATGATGGGTGTGGATGCCGCGCGGGTGGTGGCATTGCCACTGCAGCAACCACTGCAGGCAATTATGCTCGGCTGTTCGACCAAGAGAGATCAAGAGATACAACGGCAGGATTTGAGAGGAGGCAGATCGGACGTAGCAGATCTTATGTGTCATGCACTGGAAATTTGGTCCTCGTCCTGTTCAGGCCTCCTCGTCCTGTTCAAGCCAGACGATGCATTGTCGATCAGTTTCGGCTCGAGTAGGTGCTTTGGTGGGTTTCATTGTCGTTTTGTCGCATGTTGAAACTCAAGGCAGACGGACAGACACCGGGTGTCAACGCGTATGGCCACAGCACCACAGAAAGTACTGCAGTGCACGCTGCATTGTTGCGGATTTGTGCTTCCATGGAACCCAAAGATCCAAAGTCAGTGGCTGAAGCGGCCGTCCGTGCAGCTTTTCGTGAGGCCGATCTTGTTCAATGATGTCTTCCCTTTGGGTTGGTCCGGGTTGTGTTCCAGCTTCGGTAGTGATTGTAGCTGCATGGAGATTTCGCGCAAGTCCGCATGCTAATTACTTTTTGTTGTCGTTCCTGGATCCCTGTGCGCGAGTTCGACACTGACAAGAGTGGCTTCATCGACCGCGAGGAACTCAAAGCAGTGCTGGCGGCCTTGAATCCAGACCTCACCAAGAAGGACCTGTGTTGCAGAGGGGGAAGATCTTGTTTGTTTGCTTGTGCGCGTGGGTGTGCGCCTGTCTCTGTTTAGTTGCTCCTCTCGTCATCAATGTGAACCCATGTTTCTGTCTTGTTCAGATGCCCTCTGCTTTCAAAGTTTCGCTTGTCTCTTGTAGTGGTGCAGCAGCATATTCCGCAAAATTCCTGGAGGATGAGGAAGTGGACAGACTGTTCGAAGCCTCGGATGCCAACAAGGATGGGAAGATTTCCGTGGAAGAGTTTTGCAACTACGTGTTCAGTGAGAAAACCTCAGCTGTCCACACGTGGCACCTCAAGGACGGGAGAGTCCAGCAAAAGTTCATCGACGGCCGTACCCGAGTTACATTTCCAGACGGGTGCACGATTGATTCATACAAGAACGGTTTGAAGATTCAGACCGACATTGATGGTACGACAATTATGACAGATCCGGATGGACTGTCGCAAACCAGTGTCATGCCAGATGGAACCTGCATAATGGAGTCTGCAGACGGCAAAGTTTTTACAAGAAAGCCAGATGGTACAAGTATCACACAGGATCCGAGTGGAACTTGTGTTCAAATCGATCCACAGGGTGATCGCACGATTACTGACCCAGACGGCCGCACAACTACTCATTTTGCCAACGGCGCAGTGGTGGAAAGGTTTTCGCCACAACAGTCTGCTAAAAACGGAGCTACCCGTGTTCAGCGTTGCGCCTCTGGGGCACTAATCGTGACATATTCTGATGGGAGGAAAGTCCAGTTTAGCCCTTCGGATGGTATTCTCTTAGAGACAACCGGTGACGGCAAGACAAGCCTCCAAAGGCTTCCTGACGGCTCTGGCATTCGCCACCACAAGAAAAACCCTCACAACGATGAGCGACTGTCGTCCCTAGACATGGATGTTGAGATCTCCAGTGGAAGGAGTAAACTGCCGAAGCAGGCGGCAACGCCTCCGGTCGTCGAGTTTTCATCCCTCGCATCGGCCCTGAACTGTGAGATTCTGTCAGCCCCTGCATCACCGGTGAAGAGAAAAAGCAGTTTCAGAAGCCTGCAGGAGGAATCTCCAGAAATCGCATCTGGCCAATGCAGTCACGACTCGCCAACGTCACCAGTTCCACGAGCGGTCGCTGTGGACCAGTTGACTGGTGGAGGCCAGCGGACCACTTTTGAGGGAGGCTTGGTTGTTGATCGCCATGTGGATGGCACAGTCCTGGAGACACAGCCAGGTGGACAATCGAAGCAGATTAACTCCGATGGGACCATCATCTTAGTGGACAAAGCATCTGCAACTGAGACGACTTTGCGCCCGAACGGGACAAGTATCACCAAGCATGCAGACGGCCACACCATACAGAAGAATGCAGATGGAACCACTCTCATTAAAGGCGCCGATGGTGTCGTGACCCAGGTTGATCCAGACGGAGGTCGCATAGTGACCCTTCCAAATGGTGAGAAAACCAGCCATTTTGCAGATGGTACCGTGGTTCAGAGTTGGCCCAACGGAGAAAAGCACCAGACATTTCCCGACGGTTGTACAATTTCAACGCACCCGGACGGATCCTCGGAACAGGTTGACCCTGATGGAACTAGAATCGTCGCTCTTGCAGACGGCTCCAGCACGGTACTGAAACCAAGCGGTGTGAAGATCATAGCCGCAGCCTCAGGTGAGACGCTTCAGACAGACCCGGATGGATGTCAGATTCGGACCTTCCCGAATGGTCGGAAGGTTCAGAAAAGTGCAGACGGCTCGATTTTAGAGATTTTTCCAGACGGGACCTTGCGACAGTGCAAGCCGGATGGATCAGGCTTTGAGCTCAGTAGTGGCAGCAGAATCCAGACAGACTTTGGTCGCGGCACCTTGACGGCCACTTTGAATGGCATCCAGGGCGTGCCGAAAATGTGGTGCAGGGTGCTCGACATTGCCGGGTGTTGTCGCTCGTGATAACACAGCTAGAAAATCCTGGTCCCGTACAAAGTAAATGCAGAGCATCCAGCATTCAGCTTGCAGGTCCAGGGCGTATGGCTGACCTTCGTGGATGCGGGGCACTGTCCCGGCAGTGCCATGGTGGTGTTTGAGGACTGGGACTTGCAGATACTCGCAGTCAATTTGCATTGAGCTGTCATAGGGTCAGAGGGGACTGTCCGCGAGAGAGAAAGAGAGTGCATGCATGCATACACATACCGACACACGCATACTCGCAAGTATACATACACATATGTATAGATATTGATTTAGATATAGATGTAGATGTACATATCTATATATATATACACATATGTATATGTTTATACATATACATACATAGTCACATGTCTAAAAGTGTCTACAGATAGATGGGTAGGCAGAGAGACAGAGAGAGACATAGATATAGATGTATATATATATATACATACATACATACCGAGGCACGCATAAACCAACATACGATCATCACATGCGCAGGGCGGCCATGACGTCTTCGGAGCTGCCCTGCGATGTGGGTCGGGAAGAGCGTGGGCGGCTGCAGCTACTGCTGATAGTGGCATTCCATTGCCATGTACACACGGAAACATGTTGTCGTATGCGTATCGTGCGCATACATGTCTGGCTACCTACCTACCCGCAGAGATGCCCACATGTGTATATGACATACAGACGGATAGCCGAAAAAACAGACCGCAAGACCGCCTACCGCCCGACGGGCGGACTTGTCTGACGGATGGACGACGGACATACAAACAGAGACATACACCAGATAACATTACAGTGAATCGCATTGCAAGTGGTAACAGGCATGATACGGTATCATAGGTTCACAGTTTCCGAGAGGCACTCACTCCCCCGTCCTTCTTTTCTTCCTTCCCGAGCTTCCCTCTCGAGGCGATGGAAGGATGGATATATGGATGGATGAACGCATGTTCGTTCATGTGCGTGTATACCTTTGCTTACTTGTCGGGTCTGGTGTAATGGCTCCCTACGTTGCAGTGCTGGAAGGTGCAGCATCGCGGTGTTTGGTACAATCCCAAGCATGGTGTGGTTTTTGGTTTGGGAAGGTATTGTTCGGTGTGGTTCAGCAAGTACGAGAGAAGGGATAGAGAGAGAAAGATAGAGAGAGAGAGAGAGAGGGACATATGTTGCAGAGGCGGGGGGTCGCACCCCCTCCTCTTACCCTAACGAAAGAAGACATATTTTTCGCCTTTGTCGGACGATGTTTCACTCCGACCAGCTTTGGTGTGCAGTGATGTGCGGCTGCGCGCACGCACAGTCCCTTGTGTGTGCTGAAGAACATGAGACAGAGAGACGCAGAGATGTCGACAGCCCTCACCATGTTTAACGCCGACTCCAGACACGAACCACAGCGTTGCGCGAGAGCGCGGGGGATCAGGGTTCACCCTGTTCCCTAGACGCTGGGCAAGCAAGCAAGCAAACAGAGAGACTCACCCAGCAGACCTGGGCGAACCCCGCATAGGGGCCGAACCAACGGACAGTCAAGGAAAGCGTGTGGATTTTTGTTGTTCACAGTCGTGAGTGTGCGAGCGCAGCCCTGTTCACAGGAAGACCATTCCTCCGGGAGTTCAACCACGCAAAGCGTTGTGCTCCACACAGGCTGGCGCTCCAGCTCCGCATGATGGTACCCAATACAAGCTGAAAGTGCACTGCCTAAGTCTGTGTTTGCGGGTGTCACGCAGATTCACTGTGACCCGTTGATAAAGAAGTTCAAGAAGCTTCCAAGACGGCCTGCCTTATTAATTCACAACAGCGGTGCCGGTAGTACAGCTGTTCATCCTGACATGGCATACTGTGGGAGTGTTACGGCAAAACTTCTGGTGGTGTGCAATCGTAGCAGTACAGCGTGACGCAACTAATTCTGCGGGTCCATGGTAACGAGGTGGATGGCGACCACGATTGGTAAACGGTGTCAGCATAACTGTGCGGATGTCGGTCAGCATGAAGCCAGTGATTTGTCAAGCTTCCACAGTGGACGAATATGAATACCTCAGATGGATCCCTGGCAAGCGCTGGAGTTCCATGACAGGTGACTGCCGTGCTTCAGCCCAGATACGAGACGGCCTGATGGACTGGCTAGCAGGTCGCACGGTGGCTGCAGCTCGGCTTACGGGATTTATCAAATGCTCTTAGCTTCGGTAGGTATTCCGGCATCTACACTTAAAGTCGAAGACCGGCAGCACACATACCAAAGATGTGAGGAGCTTTTCCTGGACACTACGTACTGCGCTCGCCGCTGGACCTTCCCAGCACAGCCGCCTGGCGAAGCTCAGAGCCGAGAGCGTCTCGTTTGTGCCTTGAGCCGGCGCACGGCGCTACACCAGGAATTTGGACATTTTATTGAAGTACCGTTGAGAGGAACGGGGGCCTCATCAAAAAACACCAGGCAAGAGGCTTGCAGCTGGCTGGCAGAACTGACTGCAGCGGAGCTCCAGCGCGAGCCGAAGACCCTCTTCGTGGTGCCCCGGCGAGAAGCTTCCCAGGGATGTCTCGCAAGTGGTGGTGTGATCATGGCAGGAAGTCGATGGTTACCATGACAGATTGCCAAAGCAAGGCCAAAACCAATGCCACCAGAATCAACCCAGGTTGGATGCTACCAGATCGGGAAGGCGAGCATCCAGTTCTGTAGGTCCGTAGTCCGTAGCCGTAGCTGTGGAACAGTGGCCCTACGGAGTCGTTTGTCGTCAGAGCAGCAAAGTCACAGTCACCTCTCCTCGAGCTCGTGCTGTCGGGTTCCGTGTCTCAGGAGCGCGCGGCCCAGGCAGTGGCCGAGGCTGCTGGGTCCTCCGTTTTCGTCGAGCAGCGGCGCTGGAAAGTGATCCAACTTGCAGGCTCGGCGGGGCTCGGGCAAGCAGGGCCTTTGGGTCTGCTTAGTGCCTTCGGATGCCTTCGTCAGGTTGGGGCGATGCTTCTCTAAAGTCTGGCCAGCCTCTGTGGAGCATTGACAAGGAAGGCTGTTGTGTTTGGATGTCCGTGGCCTGGTTGCAGCAGCTTCGGAGTCAAAGGAGCCCCTGCGAGCGCACGAAAGATGCTCAGGCTTTGGGCGGTCTGGCTCACGATGTCTTGAAGCACTACCTGGACTCCACCAAGGCCGCTTCCATATCATCGAAAGCTCAGGCAGAGAGCAAGACTCAGAAGCTTGACAGGGCCAGTTCGAATCGGTGGTGGCATTCAGCCCAACCGGATGGGCATGGTCGCCCAAAGCCATGGCCAAGGGGTCGCTTGCCTGAGAGAGAGAGGCAGAGAGAGAGAGAGAGAGAGAGAGTGAGAGAGACGAGTGAGAAATGAGAGAACAGGAGAGAGAGCGAGAGAGAGAGTCAGACCTTAGACTGTTGCGAGCCGTGGGGGTTGGCCTTCGGGCCCCAGTGCGCGCACCCAGACCCCTTCGCAAGCAAGCAAGCCAGAGAGAGAGAGTGTGAGGGGGAGAACTCCCTCTCACCACAGCCCTGGCAAAGGAAAAGAAGGCAGCTCCAAGGAGCGGGCACTGCAGGCTCAAGCCCCCATCAAAGCAAAGCAAAGAGGCATAAAGCACAACATGTAATTGAAGTTAGACAAAGCAGGGCATTCACAGGTCAAGTGCGTTATGGCCTGAGGAGCAGTGGCTGCCGTGCCTGGATTGAGAATGATGGACGCACCAGGGTGTACAGTGTGCCCTACAGCGACGTGGCAGACAAGTCACAGCCTGTCGGGATTGACTGAACTGAACATTCTGTCCAATCGCGTGTGACATAGCTTGGGGCATTTGGGGCAGCCAGGTGAACACTCGTCCTTTACGGAGTTGCAGTCTTTCGTCAGCGCTATCAAGCCCGGGCGGTTGGTTCCAACCGTAAACTCCGAGACCAGCGTGCAAAAAGCTTTTGAAAGGTGGCTTCCGGAATCAGCCCTTCTATGCCGCTGGATCATGGTATGTGCGCCCGCATGCAAGGAGACTCGCGAAAGCAAAGAGCGCATGATGGCACCCTTCTTGGATGTGCTGGACCTTAAAGGCGATCCTGCCAGCCAGCTGCACAACTCCTTGTGCTTGTGGCACGTGGAGGCCCGTGAGGTTGTCGTGGAGGCCCGTGAAGGTTGTCGTTGAAACCTGAGGAACGCATGGACCACTACATGTTCGGTGGTAGCTCATCTTCATCAGCTTGCAAGCCGGAGACAGCGGCTTGCCTGACACATCCAGCTTTTTGTTGTGCAGACATTCGCTCCCTTACAATGCCCAAGGTTGCGCGGTGTGATTCGTTCGTGGACGTGCTGTCGCTGTCGAGCAGGGTGACGGATTCGCTGCCTGCGGAATCTGCGGATGATGCGGAAGACGCACCTGGAGACTTGACCAGGCGCAGGTAGTTGGGCCGTACCTCAGTACCAAACTTTGAGCGAGTGCAGTTTTGAGGACGGCTGCAACGCCTGTCTGGAGGACCGGAGTACTTTCCGGCTGCAGGCTGTCACGTCGGGTTGCAGGAAACGATGGCTTCACATGCCTCGCCCTAGCAAGTTATTTTGATTTTACCTCTCACTAGACATCAGCAATGTTTTGACTCCGCAGCTTCATTTCGTGGTCTCATCAGCCGTGACGCCATGCGACCCCCAAACAAACAGACCTTTGCATTCACTCTGTTTAGCTCTGTTAATTAGCCCAGCATCCTCATATCCTTCGCCTCGGGATGGTGAATATAGTACTACTTACTACTTCCTTCGACTTGTTGATGTTCCTGTTTTACTCAGGAATCAACCTTCGAACCCTTTCCGGGTTGTTACTGGGTGCACGGTAAAGTTCATCGCTGGTTTCGGCTTGTTGTTCTGCGGGTTCCCGTTGACGAGACAAGCTCACAGAATCGAAGTTCGCCCCGACTGCTGTGCCCATCATGCACATGCCCGACAGGCCATGCATATCAAGTCAGTATGCACCTGAAGCCACTACCAGCTTACATGCCTGATCATTAGTGCATCTTGCGTGCCGGCAGATGACCTTGGCTTGTTCGAACAGTCCCCCAGCCACCCGGATACATAGAGGACTGAAGTCTACCCATGCGGGGACAGGGTGTAGTATTGTGTTCAGCGTAGCCATGGCCTGTTTGCGTCGCCTGACGCTCATCAGCCTGTGGTGCTCAGCGCGTGCGCGGACAGCTTCGCGGTCTCTAACCAACGTGTCCACCACTCCAGGTCGCGGAGGGAGGGCCGAGAGGACCGCATAGGGGGCGGGTTCTGCTCATGTGGTGCAGTCTGACGAGTCTGTCGAGGCTCCCTTCAGCCTGTGGTGTCCTTCTACGAGGGAAAAGTCGGCCAGGAAGAGTGGTTGGAGGTCTTCGAAGCCGTGCGATGGTATTCCGATGCCGCTGCCTCGAACTACAGGAAGCTGAATCGATTTCTTAGGGACGGGCCGGGTCTGCTGGGGAAGCAGGAGAGGGAGGCCTGTTCGCAGAAGGTGAAACTTCTTGATGATCTGGGAAGGGCAGCGCCTGTTGTGGGAAAGCCTGGTCTGACCCTCTGGCGAGGCTTCTCAAGCTTCTCTTACGTGCAACATCTCCAAGGATTAAGTGCCGTTGCAGAGTCTCAGCCTTTTCTCGTCAAGGACGAAGCGTACATGTCCTGCTCCTTGCTGCAATCCGTCGGAAACTTCTATGCGCGGCGCCATGCCTTGCTCCCTGAAGACTTGGAAGATGCTGTCCTGCTGGAGATCCACGTGCCACCGGGTGCTCGGGTGATTTGTGTCTTTTGCAGTGGTGCAGGCGTACCTAATGAAGAGGAAGTCATGCTTCCAAGAGGCAGCACAATTCGGGTGGAACGGCTTGTTCCGAGGAGCTCAGAAACTTCCGTCCTCCAGGTCCAGGCAGTCCTCCTAGTAGACAATGCAACCTGCGAGACTGAATTGCCGCACGAAAAGAGTCCCTTACCGCTTGCCCTTACCCTTGCGGTCGAGCTCTGGGCCGAGTCACATGGGTTCTTTTCATCAGGCACTTGAAGCCTGGAGCCATGGACCTGGACTCCGAGGCCTGCGCTGACTGCCGCAGATCCTTTCTCGGTCTGTCAGAATGCTAGATGACTTCACGGTTGTCGTGCTCCTGTCGCAAGCTTCGGCTTGTTCTTCGCATCACATGGCAATAGGATTCCACCACAGTTGGTGGCAGCTCCTCCTCCACGTCTCCAGCACGAGTCGCCAGACGAAATCAGGTGAGTTTCGAATGCTGCTGGCTTGTTAGAGCACAAAACCGAGGTCCAGCCCGACCAGGACCTGGGGATGCAGGAGTGGACATCCACGGCTGCTGGCTCTGAATGTGGGGAGCCAGGCTCTGGACTCGAGACGCGGTTGCGGACGATTACGCTCTCAGCCCCAAAGCTTCAAACTTCTTGTCAGATCGCTCCGTGAGCGGCTTGATTGTCGAGCTGTCGGACTCGCAGGACGAGGATGCAGTTGGGAGAAGTTGCGCGTGCAGCTTGAGGAATGTTGAGGGCTGGGTTCGCACGGGACAGGCGGCGGCGGGAGAAGGACCAGAAGCTGACACTGAAGCGGACGATCTGCGCTGTGTCGACGTGGAACAGCAGAAAAGGCTGCAAGTCTGCAGCTACGGGCTTCTCATGCAGCACCAGGTCATCTGCATGTGACTGTGTCATGCGAGGCTGCTTCGATTCTTTGAGTCTGCCGGTAGAAGTAAAGACGCCAAAGATGCGAAGGCCTGGAACTGGCTGGTCAGTAGAGGCATGTTGCTCATGTTGACCGTGCCGCAAAGGGTCCACAGAAGCTCGCTGCAAAGAAACCGGCAAAGAGCAAGGGCAAAGGCAAGGGCAAAGGCGGCAAGGGCAAGAAGGAGCCAGAGGCCGGGATATCGCAAAGGCCAAGATATATGCGTCTGTCACTCGTGTAATTTTTGGTAAGCGTGTCCAAGGCACCCGTCCTGAAACACTTGGGTGTAAAACTCGAGAAGCAGGACTGAGCAGCCACTCCATCCGTGCTGCACGGATGTAGCGAAACGCCACTTCCGGATGTCATTCTGCAATCTGCCTCGCGTCCTCTCGAAGCACATCATGCAGGAGAAGCCGAAGGCTGCACCACGCAAGCGGACCCAGTCAGGCACCGCAAAGCGGCAAAAGACGGAGCCAGGTCCCAACGCCGAGCCTCGGTGCTAGGTAGTTGCAACTCTTGACGGCATTGAGACTGTGTGCGCTTCGCACATGCTTAAAGCAGTTTTGAGGATCCGAAACTGCCTGGAGAGAAACGGCCAACTCGTTTCGTTCCGAAGCCCAGCGCGCGAGTTCAGGACAGTCTGAGCTCAGTCAAGCCTGGAGAAAGGTCCGCCAGACATGTGTGCAGCTTTTACCCATGGACTCAGACAGGAGCGCATCGACAGAGCTTTCGGCCATCGTCTATATTTTCTGGCTCGCAGCGAGTCAGGCTCTGGTGAAAAGCTCGACGCCTTCTCGCATGAAGACTTTAATCGGATCTCACGTGCAGCGATGCTGAGCAGAGCAATGCTGAGAGTCGATACTTTTCAAGAGCAGACTGCCAAAAGCATGCCGAGGATGTTCTTGGCAGCACCGGCAACGTCTACCATGTGGAACTGCAGCCACAGGGGAATTCCTGCACTTGCCGCTCACCTGCAAACCTCCTGAGTGGTGTAGGCCGGTGTAGAGGTTTGAGTAACTTCAGGCTCGCCTCGGTCTCTGGCTACAGGTACTTGCTATTGCATCTATTACTTGCTACTTGCGTTTCCGCTTTGGTTTGTGGCTACCCGCCAAAAGCCCCGAGGCCTGGACTTTGCAAAGGGAGGCGGTGTGTGCAAGCACCTCCTCTTCGTCACCTTGCGAGTCGCATACCCATGCAATGTCGAGTTCAGCGATGGCTGGTTTTCTCGCTCTCTCTCACATTCTCTCTCTGCTTCATTCTCCCCTGCGCATGATACATCAACCCCGAAAGCCGAAGTGTGCACGTGAGTCTAAGGTCCTCAAGCTTGCAAGGGATGACCACCGAGTGTGGCAGACAGGATTCACTTCATCCGAGCTGGCCCCGTTGCTTGAGAAGCTTCGGAGCGAGGCACGAGCAGCGAACCTCTGCAGTCATGCAAGGAGGGTTTGGTGTGCAGATTTCCAACGGCTGACTCCAGGAGTTCCGCGCGGCGGCTGCTGGCGTGCAGGTGGGCAGCAGCCAGGAGTTCAGCTCTCTCGATTTGCATTTTTGAATCTGCCCATATCTGCTCCAGGCGGATGCCACAATCATGCGTGGCTACCGAAAGGCCGGTAGGACCTGTAGGACTAGGAGTGTCAAAGATTCCACATCTTTCTAAACGTGCTGAAAGGTCCAGGGCTCCCAGGATGCCGTCGTGCGGCAGCCGCTGCCAGCTGACTGTCCCATTTGCTTCGAGCAGATCGAGTCCGAAGAGGACCCTGACCCGGACGGGATGTGTTTACATCTTGGGCACTCTGCAAGATATGATGCTGCTTGGCAGTTGCTCTGCATGTTCACTGACGTCCAAGGCCGCTGAGTTCTGCCGCACTTGCGGCCACAACGTACATGCAGATTGCCGCCGACGGTGGGCGGCAGCAAGCGGGCAAAGCAGCTGCCCGACACTTGCCTGTCCTGGTCCCGGCACGTCTTGGTTTGATGCAATCGAAAAAATCGTTGCTTCCATAGAGTCGGATAGAGTGGGAGCCGAGGATGTGCCGCAGCCCTTGGGGCATCTGAGCCGCGAGTACATCCTTACTTCTTGTTCTTCGCTTCAGCACTCGATGCTTTCAAAGCGGTCGGCGGATTTCATGAGAAAGAGCTACTTGAACTTGCAATCCCTTACAGTATGTGTGATCGCAAGCTGCACTCAGGCGAGGCTGCCTCGAAAGCCGCAGAGGCGGGACGGTTCAAGAGAAGGAACCATCTTTCGGAAGGGATCAAGGACGCAGGGTTGGCCGCGGTGCGGTCGTATGCGGGATCGTGGTCAGACATGACTTAACAAGCAGGCAGATGCACCGGTGAATCTGGCAGCATACTCCGCTGAGCATCGCGAGGCCTGAGCATTCGTCAGGGGTCCTTTGTGGGAGCGGTTGTTGCAGAACGAGAAGTGGCATGCAACAGACGACATGCAGATACCCTGCTGTTCTTCCATGATTTGTTTACATGTATTCTGCTCTTCATCCCTCCGAGGCCCAGTACAGGTGACAGGCAACATATCCATTTGATCCAATTGGGTAGGTGCCTGTCTGAAACAAGAATCCCTGGCTTCTGCAACAATGGAAAGCCAAGGTGAGTTTGGCGGCCCTGTACCCGGAGACGCATCGCTGGATCCAGCGGCGAGACGGCGAGTGAGTTTTCCAAAATCCGTCAAGAAGCGAGCCCGGGATTAGGCTCATGTCAGGACATCCTTAGCCTTTTAGGTCTCGATGTCTAAACTCAAGAGAGGTTTGGGGTATTGTAGGTGCCAATAATGCCTTAGGCCTTAGGCGCTTTGTGTCACCTTGGGGCAGAAGCCGGCTCGTGCAGAGCAGGTTGCTGTGGGGGCCATGGCATGTCAGCATGCCAGTCGACATGCTTCCAAGCGAAACAGCTCTTTCTGTGCATTGCTTGCTTGTGCACCATCTGAATTGATCCATCGCCGCATGCCCGGGAGCTTCGTATTTACAACATGGAACGGCCTGCTTCGAGCCGAACTGCATCGCAAGCACATTAGTGGCATCCCATCACTGAGATTTTCTGTGAAATTTGCAGTGTGCACCTGGTTGCAAACCCTTTGAAGCCTTCAGTTTTTGCACCTTTGTGAAGATTACCTATAGATGGAGCATGCCCTTACAACTTGCCGATCAGATTGAAAGTTTGCACTGCTCGCTGTCAGCCCTTGCTCGAGAGATGGGGGTAAAGCAGGGCGCAAGCAGGCAGGCATTAAACATTTTGACGCGAACGAGCAGCCCTCGTTCCTGCAACGTGTATGCATTGGCTTGAAAACTGAGCTGGTTTGGCCACATCAAGCAGTTCTTCCTCGAATACGGCATAGGCATCACAGCAGCACGCTTTCCTGCAGTGAGGCAATGGTCCGGGGCATAGATTCGTTGCCGGAACAGCTCCGGCCAGTAGCGGCGATTTGAGAAGAAACGGCCCCGTGTTTTCCACAAGGCAGAAGTCATGAGAACCTTTGAGCGTTAATACACATCCTTCATCGAGAGTGGCTCGTACTTCCTACAAAGTTTTGCACCCTGCGTCGGTGAATCCTCAGTGCAAGAAGCAGAGTCAGAAGCTTTGTGGGCACGACGTGCCACGAGAATCAAAGCAGCCGCCCTTGATGGCCTAGGCCCCACCGCCGGTCCACCCGGAGGTGAAGACGCTCAAGGAGCGAGGGGATCAGGCGGCACATTTCCCGGTTTCCCCGTTCTTCCACTTTGCTGCGATGCCTTCGAAGATGCTCGGAATGTGCCGGGTGATAAGCACGAAGCTTGCTTGCGCGCATTGGCTGCGGTTGGCTCCAGCTTAGGGAGGACGCGAAAATGGTTGCATGAACCCTATCCCGGCAGATGCTGAACATAAGATATTCAAGTCTGTGAAACAGGGTCTTTAGCTGAACGTGTGCCACATCGAAGGCTCAGATGAAAGCAAGCAGAGCTACACAGAACTAGCTATCGTGATCCTGGACGGGATGTCCTGTTGAGATCTCAGAGCGAGAGTCCACGCGTTTGCCATCGCCGTTGCCGGCGCCTGAGCGATGTGGGGTGATCTGCGAGCAGAAACAGTGCCACATGTGGATTCGACTGCCAGTGGCCGAGGTTCATCAGCATCCCGTGTACAGGTGCTGGCATGGATCCCCTGTTGCAACGAGTGGCAGCTCTGATGTCGTGTGCAGCCCGAAGGCCATGCAGCAGTTCAATGAAACCTCGCGCAGTGCCTAAGTTTCCAATCCGAGGACAACATTTTCTCGACAGAGAACCGGTTTCTGATAGAGATCAGCCCCCCGTCTGAAGCAGCCCGTCGCATTCGGAGTGAGCGGCTGAGAGCTGCTTGGCCGAGGCAACCAGTCCAACAAAGAATTTGTTTACGATGGCGACTACCTGCGTTGCGGTGACTCCTGGATGCGATGAGAGGCTGAGACAGGCAGTTTATGCCCGTTTAGTCCATGCCATGGCGAGGAATGGAAGTCCGAGAGGACCAAGTCCATCCCGGCTGAGATGCCCAGCATCATTGAGCGACATGGCTGAAAAGCTGCGGTGGTCAAAGGATCTTTTCAAGCTTCAGTTGTGGCTCTGTGGGCCACACCGACAGAGTATGCAGAACCCAGACGGTGCACACAACGATTGTTCGATCGTGGTTGTTCGCCTGCTCCCTCTTCGGCAAAAGCTGCACATGTTTTGAGGACTTGGTTTGGGCATGTGTCGCCGCTGAGCTGTGTCTTGCAGACTTCAGGTTCGAGTCACAGCAGATCAAGGGCGTGGCTGGGGTGGCGTGGTTTGTCGACAAGGAGGCGAATGAGACTTCCTTACTGTGTAGATTTGCCGGCATGGTTTGTCATGCTTTTGGATTGAAGCCGTATTGACTGACACTAGGCTGAAGCACATGCCTGACTTGCGACAGGACAAGGAAATCTACTTTTCCGTGGCTTTGGCCTCGGTCCAGACACATGTTGTGATGTTGGCCCATCCCCATCCGTGTTTTGTGTTAAGCCGATTGAGGGATCATTCTGACCGAATGTGCTGTCGCCTTTCAAGACGCTTTACCGCAGCACGACCACACATTGCCTGGTGCAATGCGAAGTCGTGCCGAGCCTTGGGTGGATTTTTTGGGGGGAAATAGTGATGCGCTGAAATGCGGTTTCCAGTGTTGCCACATAGCATCACAACGACAGGATACGACAGGTATAGATGGCTCGGTTTGTTGCATTTTTGTGATCCAGGCCTTCGCAAACCCTCGGCTTCAGGAACCCAGCTTCGCAACTCGGCCGTAAGTTGTCTGGAGAGGTATCTCGATCGGTCTAGTTAGATCCCGAACAACTTGGGTTTGGTATTTAGGCCTTGGTGGGCATGCTGGAGACGCCAGAGTCCACTCTGCGAGGCGTGCTTTCTGGGCCTTCCGCCCGCCGACCTGACCCTTGATTGCAACGACGAGTAACGAGCCTTCAGGAGGGCCAGGCAAGAATCCCGGCGCTGCGCAAGGACATGTTTGATCGCACCCTCGTCTCAGGAAGGCCGAGCTTGACCTGGCCCAGCCGCTGCAAAGGGGCGCCCAGGCCATAGCGCAGGGCCTTTTTTTGCAAGACTTGCTCCCTCGCGCTCTCTCCCTCTCCCTCTCCCCCTTCTCCCTCTCCCCTTCTCTCTCTCGCCTTCTCTCTCACCCCTTCGCTCTCTCTCCCTTCTCTCTGTCCCCTTCTTCTGTCTCTCTCTCCCCTTCTCTCTCCCCTGCTTGCTCCCTCTCTCTCTCACACCGGTTTCATGGATTCGGCTCGTCACTCTGAGCCGACCTGAGCCTTCGGCGCAGGTGGTGTCCCCTTGTACGGGCTGTGCCTGGCTGGCAGCCGCAGTTACCTGGCTCATGGCTGAAGATCACTCCTTTTGCAAGAGAGCGACATGTACGATTGTGGACGTTACGTGAGGTCGGGAACTTGACGGCGACTTGCTTGCGGATTAAATGCATTGCGCCATGTAGAAGACCCGTAAGCCTTCCTTCACCGGCCCATCAAACAGGAGGCTAAGTCCTGCCACGAAGCTTGTGCATCTGCGCACTTTCAGGAGTGTGTGCCACCCCTTTCAGTGTGACTGAGGTTGTTAGAGCTGCTTGGAAGCACTTGAGTAGTGCACTCCGAGCCTGAGTGCTAGCTTACGATGTTGAACGCGTTTTCGGGCGGGCCTGTGTTGCCTGGAGGTCGCATGTGTCCGAAAGTGCGTCCAACTGCAACTCTACTTAAACTGGGCCGGAAGTTTTAGAGCATTTTGAGGTCACTATTTTCCAAAGCGACAGCCTGCCACACTTCGTGCCGCCTCGGGCTGCAATGCCCGCGCCGGGTGCGGCAGCTCAGGTGGCATCCTGGGCTTGCGAAGTCGAAGAGTCGAAGCAGAGCTTTGCTGCTTTGGACCCCTGCCAGGAGCAAGAGCAAGAGCTCCCCACACCCTCCGCGCCCGCGCCGCCATCCGACTGCACAGACCTGGCAGCGCCTGCTGGCTGGGAACTCGGTCGCAGGACTAGCAAGGCAGCAAAGCCGAGCCTTCTTGCCCTTGTCGGTGGAATGCAACTGAGGTGCCCAGGACTTGCAGCAAGCCGAAGAGGAAAATGCGAAAGCCGCAGCTTCGGCCGCGGTAACCCTTCGATGTTCGAGATGTTGTCCTGGCTGCAGCGACCCAAGGTTGGAGCATTCATGAACCAGACCCGCCCGAAGGACCGATCGCCCAGCAGGAGAAGAGGCTTCTGGCAGCGTCGAGACAATCCAAAGATCTCAAGCGTGAGACTAATCGCACAAAAGCTAAGCAGTGGGCTGCGGGTGAAGCTACTGATGCCAGTCTGCCGGTGAAATTAACAGGATGCTGCAGATGGTTTGTGGAACCTCAGCTGAAGTAATGTGGGTGCCTGCTTGGATCCGTTTGCAAAAGTTTGGGGGCTGCGGTTACTGGAGCTTCAGTCCGGGTTCATCGCTGGGGCGTTGGATGGCATTGTATCTGCGGTCTCGCGGGCGTTTTGTGCTCTCAGGAGGGGCCTGTCGACCGCGACCACGAGCATGGTCGCTGGCCTTGGAAGCGTGGTGGTGGGCGGGTACTCCGGCTACCAGTCTGGAGGCTTAGCGTGGGCAGCTGACTTCTTTCATAAACCCTTCATTGGAGCCTGAAAGGTGGCTTCGGCATGGCGAAGGGTCTGGGTGCTGGCTTGGTCTCAGGCCGCACTTCAAAACAAGCGCCGCAGTTCGCATGCAAGACTAGTGATATGTCTTTGCATATGGCAGCCGTACCGCACCGAATCCGATTGAACAAGCCATTAGACGGCGAAGCTAGTTTCGGCAAGATCTCGTGCTGAAAAGCTGCGTGAGTTTATTCCAGTGGCTTGATCGTTTTACACTTTACAACCCAGAAGAAAGAAGACATGAAGTTGCGTACCTGCAAGGGTGATGTCTTGGCAGGTCTGAATATGGAAATCGGTATAACCAAACACAGCAAACCCACAGTAGTCATCAGCCCGGCAATACCGTTGTCTGGGCAGGCGCTGCAGTCGCCGTGGCAGGAACTGCATGCGGCTTTAGTTGCATTAGAGAACCTGAAGTGGGTGTGCGCAGCTGACCCAGCATGTGCACAACATTTCTGATGCACTGCGCTTCTAGTTCAGGTGGAATTGCCCAGATTGGGCGAGGTATTGCCAACACACCTGAGGCTCCGCTGCCTCTTCCTGCTTGTCCGTCCATGATGCTCGTGATTTTGCAGGCCATGCGTGGACGCCGTGAACAGAGAGTGTGGGACGATGAGCTTGGGCAGTGGGTATTGAGGCTGCAAGTCAAGAGGGGTCGGAAGTGAGTGGAGGCCAAGTCTTTTCAATGGTTTATTGCGCTTGTTGACGTTGGATCTTTGGTTTTACGCGGGGTGTGAGGGAGAGGTGCACAGAAACTCTTGATGCGGTTTGCGACACAAGCAGACCTCAGCTGAGGTGGATATTGACCTAGTCAAACTCGAGGAGCAGGCACATGCTTCTGAGAGGGCTCTTCTGTTGGCACTTAGGCTGTGCTCTGTACTTCGGCCGCAGGTCCTTGCTGAAGGATCTGATGACGAGGAGGGTGGAGCAAGCGGCAGCCACTCTCCCTCGGCCTCTGTGAAGGAGACGGAGCCTCTTGGACTGAGCGCGAAGGAGTCGGGTGGGCAAAAGTGCCATTGTGGAGCTTGCCGTATGCATGGGGGCACTCGAATCCATCTGCAGACTTGTGATGGGTTCTTGGTCTCGGACTTGCCATGAGCACCACTGAGAGTTCCACATTGACATGCAGCTGTGCTGGCACTTGTGGGTCACTAATGTCCGCGCCTAATCGCTACAGACCTTGCCAGGCTTTGTCCGAGTGTGAGTGTCAAAAAAATCTGGAGCATGTAAGTAGACCCACAAGTACCCTTACATAAGCTTGAGAGTGCTCACAAGCTCTATCTCCTTGCACCTACGTGTTGTGACGTCGTGGCCCTGTGCTCACCCGGAGTCCACCCATGCCAACAGACAGGCATCTCAAGCAAAGCCAGTGCAGAGCCTGTAAGAGAAAATGAAGCGGTTCAGATTCGCACAATGACGTTGTGCGAGGTAAGGTCGTAAGGCTGAAAGGCTCCAAGGCCCTTGGACATGAACTAACACAACATTTTATGGCTGCTCGACCATTTTCTGAGGGACTTAGGAATGCATCGGGCGCCAGTCCAGTGACACTGTGAGGAGCCATTTCTATCAAATGCCCCACGCTGTCAACCTGGGCCCTATGTCCAATGTCGTCAGTCCTGTGTTCGTCTCTGCTCGTTGATCCTTCCGCATCCGTTTCTAAGTCTGTGCCCAGTCTTGCAGTGACGCTTGAAAAGAAAGCTTTACTACATTACACGACTATTAGAAACAATATGAAAACAAAATCAAACACAAAACTTGCAAAACAAATGCAAAACATCTGCAAAATCAATCTGCAAACAATCTGCAAATTGCTGCAAAATAATCATTTCTGGAATCACCAGCTATGGCTCCCTGTGAATCTTATAAACCTATTGCAACTTAGCCAACCGACCAGACAGACAGAGAGACGTTTTAAGGTGAAAGCTGCTGTGGCTGTTTCTGGGTGTACACACCCAGGTACTACGACCTCTTGCGTGTAAAGCCATCTGCGACTGCCGCCGAGATCAAGAAGGCATACTACAAGGCCCCGACTTGGCCTTTGCCGCAACCTTCAAGTTTTACTTCGACCTGCCCACGCCCAGAAGTCTATGTAGCAGTCTCAACCCCATCCCGTCTTCACTTTCACCTTGGCTTCAAGTGCCATACTGTGTTCGCAAACACCTTCAGCATGTCCCGCACATTCCAGCGCTCAGCAGGAGGCAAGGGCTTGTCATCCCGACAAGAATCCGGGTGATGCAGAGGCAGGGGCGGTTGATCGGATTGATCTTTCGAATGGTGTGTGGTCAGACGGGCTCGTCTGAGTGGCATTGAAGGGCAAGCTTGGTTTGCAGGCCTCGATTTAAGTTTAGGTGCAGACGTTCTGTGGACGTTCCGCAGACGTTTATGCTCCAGTGACCAGCCGGATCGTGTTTCGATCTGTGCTTCAGCAGCTAGTCAGCTAGTCGTGAGTGATGCACTGTTTCTTTCTGGCTCTTGTGGCTGTGCTGTTCAGGCGAACGCCAAGTTCCAGAAGTTGGCGGACGCGTATCAGGCGAGGACTGCATCAGATCAGAAACATCTGAGACGAGGGCTACGGCTACAGTACGTCGCCCCTGCGCCACCAGGTTCTGTCTGATGCTGATTCAAGGACCCTTGTAGTGGCGTTTGAAGGTCACCACTGGTCACCTCCCCCTGCCTGGTGGCTTTGGCTGAGGAAGAAGTATGACAAGGAGGGCAAGGCTGGCATCAAGGAAGGCAATGCTTGGGACTTGGAGCCCAGCCGAGATCATGAAGGAATCTGACAATTCCCACCATTGCTTGGCTGAGAGTGTTCGCCGAGGTGAAGATGGACCCCTCCACATTTTTCAGCTTGCTTTTCGGTTCCGAGCGCTTCGAACCCTGGATTGGGGAGCTGTCAGCACCCAAGCACAAAGAGATGGCAGAGCCTGAATTTCATGGTATGCTCTGTGAAGGCATCTGGCCATGCAGACTGACCAGTTTGCCAAAGCCATGGAAAAGGAAGGCACGAGACAGGGATCTTTCTGCCACCGGAAGTTGCCTACTTAAGCGGCAGCGCGTCGAGGCGGCATCCTAGATCCCACTGATGCCAGCAGCAACGGCAACATAGCTGACGATGCAGCTGCTGCCTCGGGGAAGGGTATGCTTGGTTTCTGTGACTTCAGTGGAGGATGCCCCGTCACACTGCTTTTCTTTTCTGCGCTGGGATGTGTGGGGCACATGCTTTCGTTCTTATGAGACCATGCATCGCAGGTGTTCAGTGACAACTCACAAATCTTGAAGCGGCGTCAGCTGCACCGCGAGGCTCTGCATGTGGGGAGTAGTGCGAGCAGCCAGTGGAGCGATGGCGACATCACCTTGTCCTCCACTCCAGTCACTCCAGTCACTCCAGTCACTCCAGTCCACTGTCTTTTTGACTCTGGCCTGAGAAGGCTGATGTTGTAACCTACAGCAAGTACGCGTGAAGGTGCACTGCGCAGTGTACTTGCGGGAATTCCTGAACGACTTCGTCTACAGGCATGACTCGAAGCTCAAATTGATCAAACAAGCTTGGTGCCCTGCTCCGTGCAATTCATGAGTTCCTGCCTCTGCGGAGGCGGGAAGTCTCGCAATTCGAACAGTTGCTTGGACACAGGGGATGTGTCGTAGCAGCGTGGCGCTGTTCTTGTGTGTTCTTGTAGAGCTGCGAAACGAAATCGCAGAGACGTGACGTGAAGACTGAGGAAAGCGAGACTTGAAGCCGCGGAGCTCGCCAAATGCCAATTTGGTGCCTCAGACGAAAGTCTGCGTCACGGACGGTCGCGACCGTCGCGGGCGCTTGCGTATCATGCCTTGGCTAGGCGTGGCCTCCTATACACTCTGCTTCACATTTTTTCAGGTCCAGAGCTCTTGTCGGCTTTGGGCTCGCATCTCTACTGCACAGCATTGCGCAGCTCAGGCGATTATCAAAGTCGGTGGTGAGGTGTGTTCTGGTGTCGATGTGTAGCAGGGCCAGCGATATTGCTTCATTCAAGGATGTACAAGCTCCGTTCCGAAATTTATTTGGCCGATGAATTGGTCGGCCGGTTTTCCATGACGAAACAGGCAGTCGCCTGGCAGAGAATTGGCGAAGCGGCTATCGCACAAGAGCTTTCTTAGCAGCCTTTGATTCCACTTGTCACACTCAGGCTGCGTGGAAGCATTCCCGCCCCTTGCATGCACAAAGTACCATGGCGTGCGAAGATGCATCCTTATTCGAACGATGGCCAGTTTGTTCCTCAGTGGATTGAAATCTCAGATATGACATTCCGGCACAAGATGAGCTTTGTTTCGCCCCTCGGCAGGGAGCCTTTTCGGGTCGGCAACAGTGGGTTTCTTCCACATTCATCGGTGGGATAGCCAGGAACGCTGCCACCAGCCTCCTCCAAGTGAAGCGCGTGCACGACGCCTCCAAGGCTTCGGTTGCAGGTTCGAAGCCTCGAGGCTCTGCCCTTCTTTGCCCGTTTTCTTCTCAGGCAACTGCGGCTTCCGCAGCTAGCACGGCTCCTCCGAGCAGTGCGGGGGAAAGTGAGCCAAGTGCCGGCAGCCCACCGGAGCCAACCCCAGAGGAGGTGGCACAGACAGCTGCAGCTGCCTGGAACTTATGAACTACACAGAAAGCGGGACAGGAAATCGCATGTGTTGCTCGAGGTGGAGAAGGCTTTGGACGAAGCCCTGCCGCTTTTTCTGCAGACTGCTTGGGTCACCAAGCTGCACGGAACCGGTGCCGGAGTAGCGACTGCGTCACCCGGAAAGTCTGTGTGTCTACGAGGCGGCTGTCGTCACGGACATCGACTCCACAGTGAAAGAGATGGGTCGAAAGCTCTTGAAGGAGTTCGTGAGGGGTCTGGCTGGAAGTGTCGAAGCCTATCGAGACTCGAGGAAGCTTCAAAAAGCCTGAGTTGCAGGACAAATCCGTGCCCTGGCAGCTCCGGGTGCGGCGCTCCCAGGCGCTACAGAGACTGGGCGACATCTTCGAAGAGGAGAGCCGGGCATCGTACCAGAGCATACTAGAACCAAAGCTTCTGCTATCTTTTGCTCTCTTCTGCTTCGTCTTCGTGGCTTCTTTTCAGGAGGGTCGGAAGGCCCTGGAGGCCGGCGGCTCCTCGAAGACCATGACTTCGGAGGTTGCGAAGGCAAGAAGAGAAGTCGCGGGCGCGGGGAGCCCTCCCGAGCACCCCCTCGCGCCAGGCCACCCTGCAGGAGGCACTCATGGCCTCGGTGAAGCAGCAGCGTTGAACCGGGCGGAAGATGCCGCGAAGACGCTCTCTTTCGTTCTTTCGTTTCGCAGTCGGGGCTTGCTTGAGCGCAGTGCGCACGAGTGGCTTCCCCGGGATGCATCCTGTTTTCCGGAATGAGTTGCAGAAGCTCCTCCGAGAGGACTTCGGTTTTCTGAGAAGTCTTCTCCAATCATTAGCAAAGCAGTTGAACCCGGCAAAGACGTGTCTATACTGTGGGGGTACAAGAGGAGCCCCTTCTCGGAGCATCCCAACTTAAGACCGGGATGCAGCAGACTTGCCTGCTAGACCCATGGGCTGTGGAGACCGGAGCTCTCTGCCAACATGGTGTTGCGTGAGGTCTCGTGCTGTAAAGCCCGGCCTCCCAGTCCCATGTCCCATCCCTGATCAGCGAACGACACAGGTTTTGCCGAACAGGATCCAGACCGTGACCTTATTTTGCGAGATTTACCATCTCAAAAATGCTGGAGCTAAGCTTCACGCGGCCGCGTCAGTTCGTCTCACTGTGTCTGAGACAGCACCAGTCACCAGGCCTATGCCGGCCGGGACTTCGCAGCAGCAACAGCAGCTTGGACTGAAGCGCACGAGCCACTCCAAAGTCTCGCTTCGCTGTCTACGAGCTGACAAGGAGTGCTATTCAGAAGCCCTGGAAAGCACCCAGGATGCTGTCTCTTGGATCGCAAACTCAAGAAAACTTCGACAGAAGGCTGACCCTGCTGCTTTCGGAAGCAGGTCGTCCTTTCAAACCGCTCTGCGACATATGCGCAGCGGCGACGGTTTGACAAGGCCATGTTTTTTTGCTACCATGATGTGGAGGTGCCGGCGCATGGATAAGCGTGGCCAGCAGTGCCCAGTGTTTCCGCTGTTGGATGCCTAAGGCAGCCTTACTCAACCTTGGCACAGGCACTTTTAGACGCAGACAAGGCCCTCAAGCTTTGCCCGGGCTGGTCTCGCCTGTGCGCCATGGCATGGCATGTCTCCTTGACCAATGCACATTAGCCTCAATCATAGGCTTGTCATTGGGCTTGTGCGAGGTACCATCGTCGTGGGCACGCCGGGTTCCAATCTTGCACAGCTGCCTCTCCTCGATGTGATGATGCGGCCGTGATGTGATCATGTTTAATTGTTTAACTGTATCTGCGTGAGTTTTGTTTTCAACAACCACCCGGACTCCAGACATCTCCAGACCAGAGGCTCTGTTCCACTTGGGGCGTTACAACGAGGCTGAGCAAAAAGCAGTCGCATCTCCGTGCACTTTGTGACAAAGTACCGTGAGACAGGCGATGGCTGCGTTGGAGGAGGGATTGAAGCTTGATGGACAGGCACCTGCAGCGGGTTCAGTCTGAGCTTGTGTGCAGTCGCAGCTCTGCACGCAGAGATTGGAGTTTTTTCGTGAAGGACAAAGTACTGCTGGAGGCCATTGCCAAGATGAAAGAGTACACTGCGCCAGGCTTCAGGGGACGGAAGGAACCATGCAGCATGTCAATGTGAGCTTGTAGGGGAAGGGTGGCGTAGCCAGGAAGGATGCGGCTCGCTTGGCGGGGTGTTGATTTCAGGCGATGATTTCTGGGTTCCAGAGCAGCCGGAGCCAAAGGCACCGCAAGTACTGCGGGAGATGTAGATTCGTGTAGATAACTTCATGCAGGCTGTCGTGAAAGAACAGCCCAAGCCCAAGGAGGCGCCGGTGAAGGAGGCGGCAAAGGAAGCGTTGGCCGCTGAGGGTTCGCAACATTGACCACTCTACCTGCAAATTCTGAAGGTGTGCCTGTGCAGCCATACTGGAGCAAAGGCTTCCGGCAAAACAGAGCTGAGTAAAACTGTCGCGTTGTTCAGGACGCCTCCGCAGAAGCGAAAGCGCCAGCCAAAGGCGCACGAGCATGGGACTCAGATCTTAGATGGAGCAGGCAGTTTCTCCCAGTCACGTAGTTGCCCTTATGTTCGTGGCTCGTGGCACAGTGAAGCTGCCTTCTGTGTGCCCTCCTAGCCTTCTGTGGCTCAAATGGCGGCATGAAGAATTCTAGCCCTAACAACTTCTCAGAGACAAGCCAACTAGGACAGGACAACACCCCACAGGAACACTCTTTCACAACAGCAGTCCCACTTAGCCTGTGCGAATTGAACCATCCGTTGGCATCTGCCAAGCAGAGGAGGCCTGGGCCTGGAGACGGAATTGACAGGAGCGAGTTGATGTTCCAAACTCCCAGAGGCCACACGATGGAGCTCGACATGGTGCCGGTATCCCTGCCGAAGGCAGCAGTTCCGATCGTGCTGCCAGTGCCACCTGGCGGGGTGAAGGCCCCGAGCGCACTCACAAGCCCGGAAAGCGAGCAGTTCTAGAAGATTGGCTTCTGAAACGCGCTGCATCTCATGGAGGTCCTCCCTCGTTGGGCAGAGGAGGACGAGGCGAATGCTGGGTTAACGAATCCACTTTCTTGCATTTTCACTTGCCTGCAGTTTTTCTTGCCGAGCAGGTCTGCAGATGGAGACTGAGATATCGGCCTCATACGAAGGCGATAAAGGAGGATCCGACCGGCAACTCGACATGGCTTCACGACTGGATTTGCTCAGCCTGTGAAATCTTGTGGTGCTGAGGCGACTTTGATGAGGGTGCTGCTTGGGTGGAGCTCGAACTTCGCAACTTCACTCGTGAGCTGCCCCTGGCGAACCTCGACTTCGGAGCCTCGGCCACCGGTATCGGGGAATCGCGGCGGTTTGCGCGACGGCACGGCACGAGGGTCGGTGGGCTGGCCGAGGTCTCGTGCACGACTTCAAAGTGGCCATCCAGACACCCGAGGCGAGTCCGGCTCAGCATGGCCCGGGTGAAGCTTTCGGGGTGTCCTGCGAGGGTTGGTCGGACTGGAGCGTGGCGGCGCAGTGCGAGGCACGGCATGGCAGTGGCAAGAGTTCCTTCCAGTGGCGTTGGTTTCAGCGTCGAGGCTCCTCCTCCACAGCCGCCTGGAAAGCTGGCTGCTCTCCTGCCGCGGGTGCTGGACATTTCCTCGGCCCCTCATCTGCATTATGACAAATGCGCTTGATGGCTGCCAGCCACGGCAATGGCCATTGGATGCCAAGAAGAACTTCGGCTTTCTCTGACAGGTGAAGGTGCGCTGGACTCCCCCACTAGACTGTGCCACAGCAACTTGGCAGAAAGAGTAGCTGCTGCAGCCTTTTGATTCCAGGATTCACTACTTTAAGACGTTGCGTTTGTTTGTCAAGCTTTTGCTGGGGCTTGTTAGTTTATTCCAAACAGTGGGTTGATGGCGATGCGTCCTTGAATCTTTGCTGCCCTGCGGCCATCAGTACGCTGCAACATTGCAGGGAGCCCCCTGCCTTGGATCAGGTCGCGCCGGGCCTGAAGATCCAGAGGTACATGATCTTGGTCACCTGGGCACCCCGAGCTGGCGAGGATCCCGCAGAATGCTCCCGGGAGATTTCTGTCCAGATATGGAGCTTGCTGAAGCCATAGTGTGGAGGAGTGTGCTAGGCGTAGCCTGAACAATGACTTCTCTCATACATCCAAGGATCATGCTCACTGATGAAACGGATTCTTATGTCGTCACCGATTTGGAGAGTTTGACCGACTACACCTTTCAGATTGCAGCGGAGAATGCTGCAGGCTGGAGCTTTTCATCCGTCGTGTCGACCCATGTCCCCCAGCATCTCCACAGGTTGGAGTGAGCTGTCCGATCCGACGGTGCCGATGCAGACAGTGCCGCCGGTGCCGATGACTCTCAATCAGCCGACGCTGAGAAGGGCAACGCACCATTCGGCAGTGGCTCAACGGACCTGAGTAGGAGACACTGGAGTTGAGTAGATTATTCTGCCTTTTTTGGTCATGTAGATATGGGCAGTTGATCCAAATGCGAAGCTGAGTGGACAGGGTTGTAGCGTTTTAGCATGTTTTAGCAGTGTTGAAACCATGTTCTGTCACGTTCTATGCATTTCTGTGCTACGGTGTGCGTGTTGTACCGTGTACTTCAAAGCCTAAGCAGATGGATGCACCCGTCACGCGTCCTTGAGGTCATACAGTGGCAACATCCCCCGTTCTCGGAGGCGCCCGTGCTGTCCTTCCGCTTCCGCCACACCCCGTAGCTCAGCAATGAAGTTGGGTTTGGGCAATTGCCTGGCCTCCCTCAAAGCAAAGCATTCGGCGCCGTGATTCGCGCCTTGAGAAGGTTTTTGCAGTCCAGCAAAGGTCAGCGGACTGGAGCAGTGAAGTGGTGGAGATCCATGACGTGCCGCCCACACTTTCCCAGTATGTTATTCAAGGCTTAAAGCCGGGCCACGTTTACATCTTCCAAGTCAGGGCAGTGAACTTCGGCAGCATCACAGTCGCTGTGTTCTCACATAGAACAGGCGGTTCGCGCAGCTTTTGTGAAATTTGCGATCGCATGCTTGCATGGTTTGAAGGAACAAGTACGGCATGGGAATCTGGAGCGATAGCAGCATCCCAGTCCGAACCATGGATGGAGCGACACCTTCTGCAATCGAAGACCTGCGGGCCTCCGAAATCTACCAGTCCTTCATTCGCCTTCAGTGCTTGGGCATAATTTCAGGCAGATTTCAGGGATTCTCCGCGCTAAACCCATGTACCTGGTTGGTGACGAGGTGGCGGCCAGTGGAGGAAAATGGGTATCCCATCACAGACTATCGACTCCGCTATGCGCACACAGAGGATGCCGACGGTAGTTTAGGTTTGAGAAGCTGGTTTATTGTACGTGGGAGTTGCTTGATGTAAGGGTCGGCTGTAGGAAAGAGCCACGACCCTCAAAGTTTAGTTTCAATGTCGATGCCCTTGTGCCTACACCTGGGCCGTCGCTGGGACGGAAGCGTCTGCAGAAGCTTGTCTAGACTTTAAATTCCGAGCTGCCACCTGTCATCGACTCCTTTGAGGACATGGCAGATGCCGTCGAGGCTGTTCCAGCTGTCGCAGCTCGCCTCGTAAACCAGCCAGTCCTGAGTCTGAATGGTCGAAGAGCATCTACGAAAGTTGAGAGCAAGGTCCGGGACAAAGGCTTTGACACTTGCGACATCCGCCATCTGCGAAAGCTGAAGTACCACTTCCAGGTACCAATTCAATGTCTCGTTGAGAGTGCGCGGCAACGGAGGCGTAAGTAAGCCTGAGGCACTTCTGAGGCCAGAACATTTCGTCACTCCGGCGTGGGTTCAGAAGCCTGCAGGTGGCGGCTATCAACCAGCTCGGCATGGCAGAGTGGAGTGAGCCGGTGCTGGTGGATATGTCTCACTGAAGCGAAGACCGAGCCCTTAGACCAGGCGAAAGCTGGGACATCTGGAATAGGCAGCATCTGGCGGATTAGAGGACTTGTCTCACTGATCACGGATGGGTCAACATGGCCCCGTGCAAGCCGCCCACGTACAGAAAGTAGTGACAGTGACCCTAAGATGGCGGATTGCCCTTGACTTGCTGATGAAGCGGCTTTGTTCGTTTTAGTGCTGAGCGCTGAGGCAGGGGCCTTCTCGCAGGCTCGCGCGAAGGCCAACACAGACTCGAAGGCGGAAGGCCTTCGGAGCAGTGAAGATCCACACATGCCAGTGTGGCGCGAGCAGCCTCTGCCACAGGCACAAAGCCAGCTCAAGGGAAATCCGCCGAAGCACCTTGTCTGAACTGTGGCATGCGCTTTTTGCTGGCAGACCGAATTTGGAAACAAACTTGTTTCTGCTTGTGTTAGGAGCTGCGAGAAAAGGGCAATTCCTTGTTCCGCACCCCGGCACAAGACAAGTCTGCTTATCTGTGATCGGGTATACAGCCATCCTAGTGATTTGTTGCCTGTGGCACCTTCGGAATGCCACCGTGTTTCGTTGTTGTGCCAGGAGAAGGCAATCATTCCAAGGCCGTTCGCGCTTATGACGAGGACTCGAGCGTGGGAATGTGTTCAGAATGTTAAGTCTCATTGGGGATCCGTTGTATGAATCAGGCGATTCGAGCCGACTCGAGCGATGCCAGATGCTGCTCGCCCAGCCAAGTCGTGCCTCCGCAGGGGTAGCGGGAAGGCACTGCCGAGTGTCTCAGGCATGTGCTCAGGCTATAGCTTAGAAAAGTCTTAGAAAAAACATCTATCCTCATGGAGGAGCGGTTGCGACTCGGTGCAGGGGAGGGGACGCCCGACAGACTGAACGGGTTTTAGAGTAGAGCTTCGGCAATTCCATCCAAAGTTGATGCATTCAGGGTGGTGATGGATGATGATGGCATCTACTGAGACTGAGCAGAGCGAGCAGAGCTTCCTCTCTGACATCTTCACTGTGTGCAGCGATCAGTGTAATCATTGTTGCCCCATGAATCCCAATGCCCGCGTTTCGAGACGCTGCCCCATGATCTACGTGGTCTCAGGTTGGGCAAACCGTGCAGCTGCTGGGGCGCTCGGCAGACTTCTGGCTCGTGAGCAGCTCGCACCTTGCTGCGCTCTGCTACTCTTCCGAGGCCCAGATGGCCATGCTGTCCGAGTTTGGTCAGGGGCTCTCGCCGGCGGCCATGCGCAGGGGCCCAGGCATGCGGTTCAAGAGCAGCAAAGACTTGTAAGCTCTTGTCTCTTAGGCACAAATCCTTACTTTACCAACTCCATGAACGACCTCAGCGAGAGCTTGAAGTTGGATGCCAAGTACACCAAGGCGAGAGAACATACAGACAGAGTCGAGACGACATCCGTTGTGATGGTGAAGCTCATGCCAATCGGTCTGCAAAAGGTGCAGGCACGGCTGTGGCCAACACAAATTTAACACTGGTCAAATCGGGCTTGGATCGATGTCTACCACAGCTTCAGCTGAAGGTAAGGTTCCCGCAACAGTTCAGCAAAACTCTACTATACCTTGTTTGTCGGGTCGCAAGTGCGCAGTGATTCACAACAGGCCGCAGCACGTATCGAAGACCCAAGCTGGAGCGTGAACACAACAGCGGTTGAAGATTGCAGGCATCCAGCCAAGGACGACTATATACTATATTGCATCAATACTCCGAATGCATTCTGCGTCGTCACTCGTTTTGACAGGCCTGGGCACGCAAGGGCCAGCTGCATGCCATGGCAGCGGAGGCCGGGACTGAGGGGCTGAAGGAATGCAGAACTCTCTGCACCAACCAACATCGAACGTTTTCACAAAGGATTTCGAAAAGCACAGGGGCAGACATCAGCGAATTCAGCAGCAGCTGAGGGAAGCCAGTGACAGTAGTCGCCACTGTTATAGCCCTCTTACCGGTAACAACACGAGGAACATATGGACAGAGATGGTGAGTAGTTTAGGGTCGGGAAGTCGAAGGCGAACTGAGCCTGTTAGGCTTCTGATATCTTCTGCTTGTGGCCGTCATGCCTGGCCTGCTACTATTGGTGCCCACCTCCGGCAGAGTTTCAACATACTCCTACGTGCAAAGGATCCGAAAACTTACTGTGACAGGAGCTTCAAGTTTGTGACCTGACATAGCCAGCTGTAGCACGCAATCCACGACGTCCGTAGCAAGTGGCGGAGCATGAGTCGGGGCTCCGTCGGCCATGTCGCTGAAGGGCTTGCTGGCTGAGTTCGGGGCTACTTGGCCCTCGGAAGGCTCATGGAAGAGCTTTTGGGCACGGAACCTGAGGCTTCCGGGACTGGTCTTTTGTCTTTTGCTCGTCGCGGCTCTCGCTCTTGGCCTGACGCTCGTGAAGGCCAGCCCTCACCTTTGCAGCTTTGAGGGGTGTCTTGTTGAAGGGTACGACTGGTACGAATACGAATCAATCACTGCGAAGGTGCACACAGAGATAACAGCATGCGGTCATCTCGCTGCGGGTTCCATGTAGTTTGATGCCCAGGTGCATCTGAAGGCCACCTACGGCTCCACAAACCCTGCGAAACGTTTATGGATACAGCTAGCAGCTCTGGGTGGCACGAATGTGATGGGCATCTTCCTGGGGTTCTTCTATTTGTACAGCTCGCAAAGCCACTCTCAGGCCAGCCTCGTCCTTACCTCCCTGGCTTCGGAAGCGTGGAAAGTTGCTGACATGACATCTGCCATGAATGTGACGACAAAGTCTTTTGCTCACAACCTGGACCGGCTGTATTCAGAGTGTCCGAAAACGACGCATGAGTTCCTGGGGTCGTCCATTGCCGAACGGAAAGGAGAGCTCCACACTGCCAGGAACGCTTTGGCAACGCTCGACGACACGCTACAAGATCTTCCAGGTCTCTTGGCAGCGCTGGCTTCCAAAAGCCAGACGCTGGTCGCTTCTCTGGCTTGGTGTCAGTTGTTGCCACTTGCAGGTTTGATGGCTTGCTTGGTCGCTGCGGCGGTCTTGGTCTTTATTGCCGAGTATTCCGGCCCGAAACTTGCGAACAGATGCCGCTGGTTCCAGCTCCCATGTCTGGCCTCTACTTTGATAGTCCCCGTGCTCGTCCTCGTTGCTGGCTGTGCTGCTGCGGAGCTCCTTTTGGCTGTGCTGTCAAGTGCGCAGTGCAGCACACCTGAGATGACAGTCCTGAACTACGCACGGGGCGAGCTTGGGAGGTCAGCAGCGTTGAACCTGACCACACAGTACGTTGGCAATGCCACCAAGATTGGTGCCATAGACGACATCCATGTCCTGCACATGCATTTGTCCTCGTGGGACGAGTGGGTAACCACTTATGGTGAGGCGATAGAGCGAAGCTGCCCGGCCTGGGATGCCACCAACGTCTCGCAGAACCTGAGAGCAATGATAACTGAAGTGCGTACGGCCAGCGATATCATGCAGCCCACACAAATGGCACCGCAATGGACTCGATTCTACAACCTCGTTTGCGGAGCAGGCATCTCGGAGGTATTCAGGATATTTCTGATGACGTTGCTGCAGGGCTTTGTTTTCCTGCCTCTCCTCGCATGCAGCGTGAGCTGTTTGCTAGAACACCTCGTGGCCGAACGTGGCCCGACAGGTCACGGCTACGGTTATGCATTTAACAGGCTCAGCACAGAAGATGCTGATCAGAGCTCATAGGGCCACTGCATGCAGTGCACTCTGTGAGAGTAAGTTGTTAGGCCTGCCATGCCTGCCGTAGAAGATGCTCGGTGGTGCAAATATGGATATGGATCTATAGATACACAATGAAACACAGATGTACATACATGTACATGCATACACATGCACCCCCTACAGCCCAGCAACGCAGCGGCCATTGTGAAATGGCAGCCAAGAGCTCGAGGCTCGAGGTAAGGGTGCTGCTTTTGCTGGAACTGTTCAAGCCCGGGCTGCATGGTCATGTGGCGGTCATGCGGTGTTGACGTGGAGGTACACTAGGCATCTGCTGCAATGTCGGCGGAAGCCCGACCTTGGCAAAAATGCGCGCAGGACAACATCACGGGAGTGTTTGAAGCTATTGAAGCTTTCTTGGGCTGCACTGGGTGCATGATAATCGTCAGGTGGCCGCTTCAACAACACCCTAAAAACACAAGCCCTCGAGCCCAACAGCCATGCAGATGACTCCCTCAGTGGCAGAGACACTCAGGATCACCTAGGCATGTAAGAGCCTACGTACTATCGATGAAGCCTTCATGACTTGGCGGACTGCATCCAGTACAGCGATGCTCTGGCTGCGTATGACCGTGGCCTCGCGGTGGACCCGACGCGCCGGGGCCGCCGGAATGATTTCTGGGCCAAGTGTATTCGGGATCCGTCTGCTTCTAACCACTTGCCGAGTGCGACATCTCCCAAATGTAGCTTCGCGGGAGTTGATGGCAGGTTACCTGGCAATAGATGCACCTAGATGCTCCACCAGTTTGCAAGCATAGGTTTGGGTCCGGTGTGCCTGTTTTTGCTGCTGTCCGAGTTGGACCAGCTAAGCGGCTAAGCACGGGTGGATTTGGAACTGGCCTTTGTGCTCGACGGGGTTGGTTGGCTTGACCTGGGTGTCCGCAGCATTTGCGCTGGCAAGAGAGCTGAGCTAAGCCTGGCCCACTGCCGCCATGCGCCTCGACGGCACAGAGTCCTCGACATGATGCCTCTGCCATGGAAGGGGCTGCTGCGGATTTGTGCCCTGTGCATCCGAGGTCCCAGAAGAACCTCAAGAAGCCGCAGTCGGCCAAGCCGAAGGCGTCCGACAAGGATGCAAAGCAAAAGGAGGATGCTGCGAGAGCCTAAGGCCTTGTGGGCACCGAGCAGCTTGTAGGAGGATCGGAGGAGCGTGGCCCTAACGTGCGAAAATCTGGCCGAGGAACTGGACATTGAGGAGTTGGCGAAGAAGTACAAGACCAACCTGAAGAAGGGACTTACGGGCAAAAAGGCTGCCGAAGCTTGTGCTTCAACAAGTATCTTCACTTTCTCCCGGTGCCCCCAGGCCCCAAAAGCAGCAGGCCAGTTCAGAATGGAGCCCTTTCGAGCGCGTGGCGTTTTCTATCCCATAAGGAGATCCTCGAGAGAGATGGATTGAACGAGCTGGAGAAACCGCCCAAGCCAACGCTGCTGATGCTCTTCCTCATGCAGCCACTTCGCCTGCACCGGTGCAAATGGGCACGGGCCGAGGAAGCCTGCCCCCCCTAGCATTGCATGCAGAGGCTCACGAGCTTCATCATCATCCTCCTCATGGTGGCAGCCGTGGCCTCCATCCTCGTGAACGCCACGGGCCCTGATGCTGCTGACCCGCTCTCCTACACCACAGGCTCGGCTTCACAGCGCCATGCCGGTTCGTAGCGGGACATGAAAGCGCAGACCAGCTTCTTGCGAGGTATTGCCATCGCGGCCCGTCTGCAAGTGTACTTGCAGAAGCACCGTTCCCTGCATTCGCCCAATGTTCGTTCTGCGACATGAATCCAGTAAGACTTTGCGACGACACAGCCAGAGCCAGCGTTTGAGCCAGGGCATCATTGTCCTCATCAACGCCGGCATTGCTGCTTGGACGGAGCACAAGGCAGGCGATGCTCTGGAGGCGTCACTTGGCCGCACAAGCGAACACTATGAACAGGTGCAGGTCTAGGCACCGGCAAGGCAGGTCTGACAGCCGCGACCTTTAACTGAGGTTGTCCAAGATGACGCAAGCCAACATCTACGCCCCTGAGTTGCAAGCTGACGCTCGATGGTTGGGTGGTTTCTGCACAGCTGAGAATTCATGTGACCGCGATGGCATGGCAAACCCACACGGTGCCGTGTGCACACTTCCCACGAAAGCCCTGCTTGAGGTCCTGCGCGACGGGAAGGAAGTGCAGGTGCCTGTCCCAAGCGTTGTCTCAGGTGACATCGCCCCTCGGCCAAACGGAAGCACATGTCTCCTGCTTCAATCTTGCATTGCAGCAAGTGGTGCTGTGAACTTGTAAACGGGCTCCAGCAGGTCGTCCTGGGAACTGGCGACGTGGTGCCGGCGGACCTGCGGCTCTTCGAGGCCAAGGACTTCAAGGTCAGCGAGATGGCGCTGACAGGCTCGGGGCCTCGCGGCGATGCTCTCGCAGAGTGGCGTGTAGTGGCGTTCTGGCCTCAGGCGAGCCTGATGACGTGGCCAAGACCTCAAAGGTGAAGGAGAAGAAGGATGGGCAGCCTGAGAAGCGCCTCGCCGCACCTCCATGCTTCACTGCATCATGTGCAGCGATCCTTAGAGCCTGAGACAGAGACCGCAGCCGCTTCGATTTGAGGCTCACGCCTGAGACCATGGCTTTCTCTGGCTGCAGCATCACCAGCGGCCTTGGTCGTGGCCTGGTCACGGACACCGGCATGAACACCCGCAGCCCGTCACACTCTTCAGAAGCAGCAGCGAGCATAGCAGGAACCTCTGCCGCTGGGGTCCTCCACCGGATCCGAGGTATCGGCCGCATTGCTAAGCTTATCGCCGGCGAGGACCCATAGCTAATAGCCACGTATAGAAGCCGCACTTCTGCATCGCGATTCGGCAGACACGGCAATACGTCGTGAGTGAGGACGGTGGGCAGAAGACCACCTGCTTCTGCTTCCCGGACACTTCTGGCAGCCAGACGCCCCTGCAGCAGAACCTGAACAAGCTAGGCTGGGTGCTGTACTTGGAACGCTTAGTGGCGTAGCACGTGGTCGAGCAGGGCTGCGTAGCCAAGCCTTAGGAAAACCTGTGCAGCAGCTGCCCACGAGCCACCACTGCTCGTTAAAGCCACCACTTCCGGTAGAATCCGGGAGAAGGCCAAAGGGCTACACAAAACGCTCCAGATCTGATTTGAAGGCGCCCGTATCGGTGTCCTCGCGATCGTCATTTGCGTGTCTTGTCCAACGATCGGAGATGTCGTGTGGCAGCTGCATTTGTGTAGGGTGCCAGGTACCCGCCCTTGCACACTATGCAGTAACTCGGTCCTCGTCCTCCTACGTTATGTTCCTTGTGTATGTACAGGTACGGCCATTTACATGTATTATGCGTTTGGGCTAGATCTCTCTCTCTCTCTCTCGCTCTCTCTCTCTCTCTCTCTCTCTCTCTCTCTCTCCCCCATATGCATACATTAACAATTAGAGCCCAGTTGTGGTGTACATTGTCATATCTATCTTTAGGGACTAACCGCGGGTACTAGTTCCAATTATTCCGCTCCATTATGAAGCGATACATGCGTGTAAGTCACTTGGCTAGACATTGTAAAAGCTTGAATAATTATTTGGTCATTTAATTGTCATTTGTTCGTCCCCTCACCTTGTCATTTATTTGTCGTTTGATTTGTCAGTTCCCTGGGGTTGTCCCTGCATGTTGTCATTTCCGTTGTCCGTTCCCATGGTTTGTCCTTGCACACCGTCGTTTTGCTCGTCGTGCGTTTGTCTGTACATGTAGCTTTTCGTGTCTTTGTGTCTCTTTGCCTGGCTTCGGAAACCAATGATTGTACAAGTTCCCTATCCACTCTGCATTGCTGCGCAATCTTTTCGATCTGTCGGCAGGTTTGTTGACATATGTTTAGTTTCGGTTCATGTAACCTGTTGCAGCTACAAGCATGTGGCATCCCAGAATTCGGTTTGGGATCTGATAAGGGTTGGTGCTAGCTACTGCTTCTTGTAAGTGCTACATGTGCGGATGCAAATAGATATGGAAGGTAAATGTCGCTCTGATTGGTGGCCGCCTGCGCATTCCGACCCAAACCTTCAGGGCGTGAGGGCTCGCTTAAGCCTTAAGCCTAAGCGAGGAAGGTGACTCTGGTTGGTTGTATGTGGGCAAGGAGAGCAGGGGGGCAAAGAACATGACAACGGCCTGGCGGAGGACAAAAACATGACAAGCAAAAGGACACGGGCCCGGCAAAGGACCAACAAAAACGACAAAAAATGACGACCAAAAGGACGGTAGAAAGGACAGAAAAATTACAAAAAAATAGGTTTCCATAAAAAACGTCATTTTTTGTCATTTACCAAAAGGACTGTAAAAGGGACAACAAAATCACAAAAAATAGGTTTCCCTAGGGAAACTTATTTTTTTTGTCATTTCCAGCCCCTTTCTCTCCCCCCCCAATCGTGATTTATTTGTCCTTTCCCGGCCCCCTCTCCCCCTGCCCCTGCCCCCCCCCCTCCCGTGCCCGTCCTGCCTCTCCTCCCTCCCCCTCCCCTTTCCTGGCCCTTTCTCGGCCCTTCCTCCTCACCAAAGGGTTTCTTGTGGTAGACCTTGGTTTGTGAGGTTGTGTTTTCGCTGGTGGGCAGAGTAGGAATGAACCCATGCCGCTGTAGCACTGAGCGTAGCTATGCCTCCCACATCCCCGCTCTGCCTTCCCATGCCACCCCGGCCCTGACCCATCTGATGCTTGTCTGCTGCAGCTTGGATGGTCACTTGAGCGCTGCAACTGCAAGCTTCCAGGACTGTAGGCCCGTAGGCCGTAGGGTCTGGTACTCTAGGCTTCCGAGGCGTTTTTGTTTGTAAGCTGTTATTGCCCAGACCCCTCGACTTGTAGATGATCGCAAGCTGCCGTCACTGTGGTCCCTCCAAATGTGTACAGTATGTAAAACGTATGTTAACTTGCCTTGGGCACTTGCAACATAACAAAAAACGACGAGAGACAATGACAAAAAAAAGACTGCAATTGCAACGTGACAAAAAACGACAAGAGACGATGACTCTGGGATGACAACAAGATGACAAAATTAAATATTCTGCTATCCTCAGAGTCTACAGAACAAATTTTTATATACTTCAAGCAGCAACGCAGACCGTAGGACTGTAGGACTTTCTTGTCCGTTGGCTGCTGAGGCTTATGATAAGTTATCATACCCGGTAGCATTTTTCGGGTGTCGGTCTTGCTCCGAGTAGCAGAGGCCTTCGTAAGCCAGCAGCACCCTCTTCCATTGCGAGCGGAATCAGGTCGGTATCTTCATCATTGGTTGGGTCACGGACCGCAAGGACCCTTCCAATCCGGAGAGTGCTGCCTCTCGCTGGCAAGTTGGTGTCACGGCTGTTGAGGGCCATTCCCACCACCCGCGGCAAGTCACTTGATGGATCTTGCCAGGCGTGGCTTTACATGATTCTGGTGTCCGTTACCTTGGCAGTGGCTGCCATTCCAGAAGGCATCCCGCTATGCGTGACGATCTCGCTGTGCCTCGGACCCTGAACTTTGCCCAGAGAGAGTGTGAACTGAAAGTCCTAGCTGGATTTGTGGTGTGCTAGACTGGTTTAAGATGGCGATTGCGGAGATGACCCTTCCATACCCTTCCAAGGTCG